CAAAACTCTCTTGCAATGACACATAAGAGCATCCCTAGTTGGCAGAAACTTTTAAAGTTCCCTAGCTTCTTTCTTGGCAATAAACTTAAGGTATCTTCCTTCGTTCGTATCACTGCATTAAAATATTTATAACTGACATATAAACTTTTCGATTTGGTCAAAATGGGTTACATTAAAGGTATAAGAGTCACCAACCTTGGAAAAATTGACTTGTGCTCTCTTCAGACTGTCTCATTATTTTGAGGAACTTTGACTTACCAATCCCGTAAAATGCACTTGTATAATTGTTCCCGCTAAATGCATGAAGAGCAAGATGAGCATTACAACAATCAATACCTAACTGTGAGGCAATAAGACTTATATCAAGAGTCTATTTTTCAGTAGAGACGCCAATATCCACAAATAATTCTATTTGAAGTTTGTTTTGAAAGTACAAAGCGTAAATAGCAATATCTGTGTCAACCGTGTGAATGCAAACGCTTTCGAAACCAATAGATGCATTATATATAGGCAATTTAAAGTATGTTTTTTTTAAAGACAAAACCTCGCTGCGAATCTTTTGTGCGACATGATGGATTAGCTGTTCAATCAGTTTTGGATTATTTTCCCCTTCTCAATGGTATTGTTGCATAAGAAAAAATACCCTATTTTGGTGACCGCAACTGAACAGACCCGCAAGTTCTGCAACTACAGCATCCTGCAAAGTCCTTTTATCTAGAATCTCTATCTGTGCAGTTTTCCTTCTAAAATTCAAATAGCTTACTTGTATGAGTAATCTCTAAATTGTCTAATACGTGTTCTGTCACATAGTCGAAGAGAAAACGCATAATTGCATCTTCTGTTAAAATAAAAGGAACTTTTTGGGGTCTTGTATAATTAAGGTAACAAGTCCGATGATAATATAACTCTAAGGAAACTATGTTTTGCCCATTATACTAGCTGGGTTTTCAGCTTTACTTAAGCGTTTTCTTATAACATGTTTGCTGCACTTTCTGTTACAAATTTTGCCCAGTAGGCACGACGTAAAAAAGACATTTTTAAACGTCTTATACTCGTTTTGGACCTCTTTTGAACGTTTTGGACGTCTTTTGAACGTTAAAAAAGACGTCTTTTTTAGGTTCAGTGCCCATTGGGTGAAAGCGTTTTATATCCGTTCCTATATTTATTAGTCTTTTTGCAATAGCAACACTTTTCATCTGCAATAATTTTTCATGAAACAAAGGAATTATTTTAATTTTGAAGTAGTACATAAAACATAAAAAAAACGTGAAAACTGAGGGCAATATTCTTTGATTTGCAATTCACACTAAAAGGATTTTTAATTTACCTGAACAATCTCTTTTCCGAGCTGAGATTCTACGCTTAAATGAGGATGCATTATCCACGCCTACACTCTCGTTGACATTTTCTGCTCTATTTTTCCGATGTTATAAAATGTTTAATGTTTTTATATTCACATACTTATTGTAACATCTTTGATGAAATAAGAAAGTTGTTGGGCACGTATTAGCAGGTCCGTATCCAGCATTATTTGGTCTTAGAGATTTTTGACCATATAAAGTTTAAACCCTCCTGAATTTGAGGGGGTCGCAAAATTTATATTTTTATAATTATTGAACGCTGAAATATTTTACTATGAAATTTAAAATTTATCGATAAATATAAGTCTGGCTAAAAATGGTACAAAAATATTTCATCAACTTGTTGCACTCACGTTTAGGGCAGGGGAAGCACAAATTTTGGGGCTTTTTTGTTCCCAAGCTCCAATTATCGCAGTTTTTTGCAAAGCATCCTTATTTGACATAAGTATAAACATATAAATGTTTGGAGTTTGCTCCATGTATAAAAGTTAGATATCTCGAAGACCAAAAAATGCTGGATACGGACATGAATTTCAGGTAGAATGTTTATGATTTTAAAGTCATTTCGAATTTGACGATAGTAAAAAAAAATTGCTAAAGGCATATATAAAAAAATAAACTGAGTTGTACATTTAGTTTGTGACTTACCAAGCATTGTAAGTCACAATGCTTGGTTTGCAAGTCACAATCCACAAGTCTTCACTTTCGCAAGCGCATTTTCAGTAAAACCACACAATTTGTTATTATTACGACCAACTTCACCATGATGAAGTATACAAGCATTTTTAATTTCTTTTTTGGGAACCAGATTATAATGCTGCATTTTTTGGCTACTCGCCATTATTTAGTTTAATAATAATAAATAAATAAAAATAAACCACGTTTTTTTAGTTAATAAATAATAAAAATAAAACACGTTGTTTTATATTTTTGCAACAACCGTTTCTTTTAAAATGATTGCAGTTTGTTATGCAAATATTTTATTTTATTTATAAAAATGACTTTGATTTTTTTCTTTTATTTATGACAGCAATTCTTTACTTTTAAAAAGAACTTCGATAAAATAAAAAAAAGTAAACAGTTTTTGAAAAGTAAACATTTTTATACGTAAACAAAGAACGGGAACATTTTTTTATTTCTTAGATTTATTAAATTAAAATTATTTCATATTTTTAATACAATATTAAAAAAAAAATTATAAACAAATTTTTTTTTAAAATAAGGTTTATGAAGTTTTGGTTACATAGATTTGAGTAATTGTATTTAAAACATCTAATTTTACAAACAATTAACCCCCTATCAATAATTTGTTAAAACTAAATTAATGCTTTGATAAACAACATGGCAGATATATCATGCTTGAAATCTTTTCAATAAGCTGCATCAATTTTTGTCTCTAACTTAAGTTATAAGCACTTTCCAAGTGGCACGTAAAAATGTTTAAAATTCTTAAGTTATAAGGAACAATTTTTAAACTTCTTAAGTTATAAGGAAAATTTTTACAAGGTCGTTAAAGCGAAAAGTTGAAAAGTTTGTTTTTATCTTTGTTTATTAAAACTTCATGCTTAAAATAAGGCTTAAAAAAATTACTGACTTTTATTTGCATTTTGATACTGTTTAAAAAAAAACTAATAAAAAAGAATTAATATATAATTATTAATTAATATATTATTAGTTAATTCTTTTTTATTAGTTTTTTTTTTTCAAACAGTATAAAAATGCTAATAAAAACCAGCAATTTTTTTACTTAAATGTTTTTAAGCCTTATTTTAAACATGAAGTATAATTCGATTTATTAAACCAAATTTTTTTGTTTTATCTTTTATAGAAAAACTTGAAATATAAAAATTGAATAAAAACATCAACCATTTAAATGAAAAACTTGATTATGTTTAAACTTTTATTAGTCTTTTATTCATGAAACAATGAATTATAAAAAACGTGGTATCTAATTTTTTATTAAATTTTTGACGATGTTTTTTGATTTATTGACGATAATTTTTTCCCCCTATTACCGCACATCGACGCGAGCTATAAGAGAGAGAGAGAGGGGGGGGGGGGGAAGAGAGCAAAAAAAAAAAAAAATTTTCGCGATTAGATTTTTTTGCGTTAATTCGAGCCCTGTCTTAGTTTAATTTCTAATAAAATGTCTATTCAACCTTATCAATTTGAACCAAAAATATATAGCAACCGTCACTTTTGAAACCATAAAAATTACTGAAATAAATTTATTTTTTTACTAAGGAAATATATTAAATAAACTTTCATATGTCTAAGTCAATATTCATTTGTTTTTAATTGACTAAAAAGAGTTTAAAATTTGACTATTCTATTCATTTTTAGCCGTGGAATTGCCCTTATAACACAAATATATAAATTAATATTATAAAAAAAAATTTAATATACAAATATATTTTCACAAAATGCTACAAAACTTATTCTTGTAAGTAATTATGTGTTAGTTGAAAAAAAAACGACTTTACTTTTAAATTTAATTACCAACCAATAATGACATTTTGTCTACTTTGTTTAATTTGACGTACTTAACGTTAGTTTTTTGAGGCACTAGAGTCAATAAACTTTGGACAAGACGCTTTTTTTTTTAATCGAAGAAAAGTGTTTTTTTGAAAATTAAATTTGTTAGTGTGTGTTCATTATTACGTTTTTGAAAAAATAATATACATCAAACATTTTTTTTTTTAATGATCTTTCATATGAGATCATATCTTTATAGCACTTAGGGATCCCTTTAAAATAGTTTCAAGTTTGTTGAGACTAGTATATCTTTTTATCAAAAAAAAATTAGTCTTTCCTAACTTATGTCTTTGAACATTTGTGGCAAATTTCAGCTATTTTGGTGATGTAGGGTTCAGATTTTTTTTTTTCAATTTTTTACTCTAAAATCTTTTTTTCATATATTTTTTTTTACTTATCATTTTTATTAATTTATGAAAATTTTCTAATTCACAATAAAATTTTATTGCATACCCAAGTAATAATTTAAAATAAATTAAATAAACTTTCAGTTTTCAAATAGATAAAGAATTCATTTTCCAACTTGTAACCATTTTTGCCATTCTCAAAAAAGACTACATTGGCAAAAAAAAGTGCAAGTAAAACCTAAGCAAGTAAATCTAATTTACTTGCTATTAACTTTGTAATCATTTAAGAAAAAGACTAATAAGAAAAAACAAAACAAAAAAAACAAAAAACAATCAGACAAAGCTGAGTAGTAGGCACGATGGTAGGCATGATCCAGAGGAACTTCAATTTCATTAAAGCATAAATTGCAGAAAAATTATTGTAAAAGTTTTTGTCTACAGGCCACTGAGAGGCCACTGACGCAACTGATTATACTACTCACTATAGTTGTGGAGTAATTTTTTTAAACTGAAAAAAAGCTTTTTTTTAGTCCATCATTCACCGGTCAACTCCTGTTTAAGCAGTGCTTTAAATAGCCAGATAAAAAGCTAACACTTTTTATCCATCCATTTAAAAATGCTGCAAGCTATGAATAATATATGTTTTTATATGGTTATATCTGGATTTACAATATTGTTATATAAACACCAATATAACAAGAGTTGCTGCTATACTGAAGTCTTGACACTTATTTTAAAGACACCATAAAAAACTTACAGGTGAGTATCCAAATGAAGCAAGAGCAGCATTGCCGTTGGGGTAAAAGCAAGTCACATTTCGATTGGTTTCACATACAGCTAAATAAATATATAGTTAAAATTTAATTTTTTAATTTATATATATATATATATATATATATATATATATATATATATATATATATATATATATATACATGTTTCAATTACTAAAGATATATATATATATATATACAATATGTATATATATATATATATATATATATATATATATATATATATATATATATATATATATATATATATATATATATATATATATATATATATATATATATATATATATATATATATATATATATATATACAATATGTATATATATATATATATATATATATATATATATATATATATATATATATATATATATATACAAGTTCCAATTTTTTAACTATAATCAAACAAGAAATGTTTCGAATCAAAATAAACTGTTTTTTCTTTGATTGTTCTATTATTTAAATAAAAAACTTAAAAGAAAAACTTTTTAAAGAAAAATGAAAATCTACACCTAACACTTCTTAAATGTTTAAAGAATTTGCATTTTGCATTTTTCTTTTATTTAAGGTATACAACAAGGATGTGTTTCAAACCTTTTGGTTCTGTGAAAAAGTTGTATTTTTGGGACACACCTTCAGCATATATAAATATAAATATATATATTAGGGTGGGTCACTTTTGAAAAATTTTTGAATTTAGGTGTGGCTGGGCATTTTTCTTTGACCATATGATACTGAGAATCAATTCTCATTTTATTTGTATTTAATGTTTAGTTAGGTAATTTTCAGCTTGAAAATTTTAGTTTTATCATAAATATATAATTTTCCCAGTGTTTTGTTGATTTTTTTTTCCTATTATCATCTTCAAACCACTTTAAATCAAATAAATTTCTTAAACTATAACTATTTTATCAATAAAAATGTCAAAATATAATCCTAAATTATAGCAACTAAGGGGGTATTTTACCATAGAAATGGATAATAACTAATTTTGTAATATGTATTTCTGCAAATATTGTTTATGTACGCCAAAGTCGGACCACGCCAAAGTCTAACTACTAATACTAATTACTAGTATATTATTAATTAATAAACTAGTAATAGTTTTATTAATTAATAAGAGGAAGAAATATCATTGTATTTATTGTATAGAAATAATCTTACAGTTATAAATAATGGCTCAAAAAACTTGTGATAAAGTTAGATGTAATTTAACAAAGCTAATTGGTACAGGAAAAACGTTATTAGAGTCAGAACTACCAACTTCAAGAGATGTTTTAAGATTTGGTCTTTTTCTTAGAAGGATTGAAGAAAATGATCAAAATTTAAGGCTAACTTCTAAAAAATTGTGGACCTCAGTAAAATATTTATGACAAAAAGCTGATCCACTTATACCCATTATATCTGATAAAAGAGGACAAGAAAGAATCATATATGAATGGAAAAAAGCATATAATCTGGCGTTAGGTAGAGGAACATTTAAGCAACTTTCTGATCATAAATTAATCTTACATAAACTGTTTGACATAAAAAAATCATGTGAAGAATCCGATTATTATGGCTGCAACCAAGTTTTTCATATTGTTTGCAAATGTTCTCTGGAAAATAAAATTCCTATTATTGAACTTAAATTTTTAAAGTCACAGAGGGATAAAGTTGGTTCTAAAAGTGGAATGCAAATAGGTTCAGTTGATAGAAAAGAAATATCCAGACAAAAAAATATCATCAAAGAAAGCAGAACAAATCAAAGAGAATTAGAATCAAGACTGTACAGTATTCTGATGTATTATCTCAAAATGATGTGGAATCAATCCATGCTGAGAATGATTATAATGACAATGTTTATTTACCAGAAATACAAAAAGTTTCTCATCTAAATACCTTAAATGTAAATCATATTGCTTTGTCGGCATTAAGATTTGGTACAACTAACAGAGCAACTTCATCAAAAGGCACTGCAGCATTTAAAGCAGCCAAAGATGCAGAATTTTTGAAAGATCATATATCTGATTCTAGATCGTAAAAAAATTAATATCAAAGCAAAGAGTAATTAAGGTCTGTAAAGAGAAACATAATAATGAAATAAAGGAAGAGGGCATATAATGTATAATGTTCGATGGCAGAAAAGATTTTACAAAAACAGTTGTATATGGTAATGATGGTAAATCTTACACTAGGGAGATCAAAAAAGATCATTATAGTGTCTGTTCTGAACCTGGTGGAAAATATTTATTCCACTTTGTAAATAATTCAGAGGAGAGAGAAACTTGAACTCCTGCTGAACATATTGCTGAACAACTGTATGATTGGATAATAGCACATGGCGTTGAAAACCAATTAGTTGCAATTGGAGGATATTCAACTGACCTTAATGCAGGTTTTGTTTTTATTTCTTTAAATGGTAGTTTAAAATTTTATGTACTTATTTTTTTAACTTAAAATAAAAAATTTTTAGAGAAGAAACTAGGATTAAAACTTATCTTTATTATTTGTGCGCTACATACCAACCAATTGCCACTTAAGCATTAAGTGTTAGCTTTAAATGGAAAAACTTTATTAGAAAAAAGATTCTCAGGAAATATCAGAAAACTTATTAACAAAGTAACAAATCTTCCTATTTTGACATACATCCCTCAGCTTGATTTTGTTGTAGACCTAATTCATCTAGAGAAAGTTGTAGATTCATTGTCTACAGATCAGAAGTGTTTATACAGAATATATAATGCAATATGATCAGGTGCTTTTCCTGATGATTTAAAGAAAATTCAAATTGGCCTACAATCATTCAAGATGGTTGAATCTAGCAAATAGACTACTTTGAATCTGGTACTCTGAGCATTGTTTAGAAAACAAAGATTTAATTGAAAGATAAAAGAGCAACTCCCCTATGCAAAATCTTAAGTCAATGTAGCAGCACTTCCTTGTAAAAGGAAGCTATAAGTTAGTTGATGTAGTAGCTCTTCTTTGTAGCAGCAGGCTATAAGATAGTCGATGTATGTACTAAAGCCTATAAATATTTTTAATTTTTATATTAAAAAGTCACCACTTTAAGAAAGTCTCCACATGAAAGTGTAAAAAGCAATAAAATAAAGTAATTTTAGACAGCATTTCTATCATAGCTTTGCCTAATTTTATTTGCAGTAATCACTTATGTAAAATTTTAGGAATATTGTGGTGCAAAATAAGTTGCAGTTTTGGGCAACAAACAATCTCTTTTTTCATCAAAAATGTTAACTGCCTCTGACAATAGCCTTATTTTTAATGTTTCTTAACTTTTAAATTATTAAAAAGTATAGGATTCCTAATACAGCAAATATTTTATATATATGTATAAATAAATAAATAAATATATATATATATATATTATATATATATATGTATATATATATATATATATATATATATATATATATATATATATATATATATATATATATATATACATATATACATATATACATATATACATATATATATACATATATATATATATATATATATATATATATATATATATATAATATATATATATATATATATATATATATATATATATATATATATATATATATATATATATATATTCATATATATATATATGTTATAAATAAATATTATATAATATATATATGTAAATATATATAAATATATATATATATATATATATATATATTATATATATATATATATATATATATATATATATATATATATATATATATATATATATATATATATATATATATATATATATATATAAATATATTCAAAATTTCCAATCCAGAACACCCTAGTGAGAACTAATAGCAATTTTTCAGAGTATGAACTGATCTTTTTTAGTATATAAGGGGCGGCTGGGACACCCTAATATGTATATATATATATATATATATATTATTTGTCTTTCATTCAATTGGCATTGTCTTAGTTACTGTATTAACTCACCTGTAATATACTATATATTTACTAGTAAGTTACTCTACGTATGTTTATGTTCTGTCTGAACTTCTGGCACGGTGTTGGCCCACCCGTAAGTTACTTTGTGCATATTTGTTGTTCTGTTTAAACATCTGATGTAGTGTAATTCAGTGACTAACTTGTGACTAACCAACTAGTGACTAACTAGTGACTAACTAGTGTCTAACCAACTAGTGACTCTAACTACAAAACTAATGCTCACTTAATCTTTAGTATTCTGTTAGTTTTTTTTAATACATTACCAAAATATTGCCACCAATGTTTTTAAGTACTGCTTACAGGAAATAACTTCTTTTATCTACTCCAGGTCAGATTCATGATCATCGTGATCAACCTGCAACAGGTATCATCTAACTTACAACAGCATGCCTTGCTGCCTTAAAGAGTTTCCTTGTTTTAGACAAAAGCTTTATAGTGCCACAATAAAAACGCATGTAGAATGAGAACCACTACATGTAAATTTGAAGGGTGGTTTGAATTAGCTTATGCTTAGCGTAAATATTTCAACATTTCCTAAAGTATTTTTACTGGCTCTTAAAACCTTCTTATATACATTGACTTTCAAAATGCAGTGAAAAAATAACTATAAAAACCCTATTTTTTCAATTATATTACCATCAAATAGGATCTGAATTAATTGTAAAACATGGTTTTTGATTTCTCCACAAGAAATTTATTTAAAATAGCTTAATATACTCATTTGGTAAAATACTCTTCAATATTTTTACATACAATATTAAAACTCATGATTACTAACAGCAGATAAAGACTAAAATGGTTAAAATGTTCATTATAAACTGTAAGCTATGATTTTCTACTGCTTAATCAAATAAATCTAATAAAATTACTATAAGTATTGGAAGTTACTGGAAGAGAAAAGATGAAGATTGTAGAACAAGATAATGATTGTGGTCGCTTTAATAAATAATTAAATTAATAAATGATAAAATTAATTTAATAAATAATAAAATTATTTTAATAAATAATTAAATTAATTTATTAATTAATTTTTATAACATCTTCGCTTCCAACATGGCTGCAAGCAACCACTATAAGAGGTGGAAGTTACTGGAAAAGAAAAGATGAAAATTGTAGAGCAAGATAATGATTGACAGATGACTTAAAAGATTGCAAATTATATGAATCAGGAAAGTAAGATGAAAGAAGCAAATTCCAAAGAACTGATGTTCAAGGAAAAAAACTAGACAAATAAGAGTTTTTGGGGTATTAGGAACAATCACAGAAAAAGATGAGACTTAATTGAATGACAAGTAACACAAGAATGAATTTTAGTAGATGGCACAAGAGACGCTAGCTCTTTAGAGTAGATCCGATTATAGTATTTGTAGAAAAGAGAAAGAGAAGCAACATTACAAAGATGTAATAATGGTTGGAGATTGGCTGCAAGAGCAGATCCAACTATGTTTACAATGCGTTTTTGCACCTTGTCTAAAAGGGAAAGGGCATCATTAAAAGATTTGCCCCAGATATGGCAACAGTATTTCATACAAGGCCAGATTTGAGATTTATAGAGATAGAATAGAATCTTGACTAAGAAAGTGTCGAGCTCAATAAAGAGATGCAACATTAGCAGATGCTAAATTAACGGATTTGATAAATGGTTTCCAAGAAAGATCGGACATAAGAGTTAAATCTAGAAGATGAAGCGTAGATGACTTATAGTGTACTATATACACAAGTAAATTACTGTTCAAAAATATATATCTAGATTATTGCAATAATGATTGGCTAAAAGAAATTGAGTTTTATCTGAATTAAAGTTCACCAACCACTGTATGCCCCATGCTGCAGCAGAAGTGAGATCCTTTTCAAGTTCAAATGCCTCCTCCAAGCAATCAGAGAGTGTTGGCTTCTTATCATGACAAGAATAAATGGTAGTATCATCAGCGAATAATGCCAGCTTAGATGTAAGAGTATCTGGAAGATCAATAGTGTAAATTAAAAAGAGTATAGGATCAAGGATGAAACCTTGAGAAACTCCTGAAGTTACAGAATAATAAGAAGAGTGCTGTCCATTGAGGACACTTTTTATACTACAATTGGAAAGAAAGGATTCAATAATCTTAAAGATGTTACCAGATACACTGCAAGAAGAAAGCTTATGGAGAAGACTAGCATGCCAAACATTATCAAAAGCTTTAGAAATGTCAAGAGTAATGGCCTTAACCTCTCCACTTTTATCTAATGTACGATAACACCTGTGGGTTATCACTGTTAGCAAATCAGCCATAGAACGAGAAGATTGAAATCCATTTCGATGATCAGAAAGTAAATTATTAGATTCAAGATGAGAGATTAAGTGTTTGTTAATTAAAGATTCAAAAACCTTGCTTATGATAGGAAGAAGATTAATGGGACGGTAGTTAGATGAATCAGATCGCTCTCTAGAATTGTTGAAAATAGGGATTACAGATGCCGCTTTCCAGCAAGATGGAAAACAAGACTCTAATAAGCACTTGTTAAATAATTTTAAAAGAAAAGACAACAGCTCTGGAGAACACTTCTGCAAGACTATAACAGGTATGTTATCCGAGCCACAAGCTGTAGAATTTAAGTCTAAGCAGAAATTAAATAAATAAATCTAATAAATCGAATTGTGGTTTTCTTTAAATATACTAACTATTCAGATTAGTTATGCATCATAGCAATCTTTCTTTGTACTCTGGATGATTATTGTTTTGTTTATACCATGACCAATGTTGATAAAAGTCTTGATGAGAAGTTTCAACAGAAGCTTCCTGCATTCATTTCCCTTGAACTGGCCCCCATGATACAGGTGTCAGTTAAATGTGGAGGGTAGCTGGTCATTTAACAGCCTCTATCCAAGCAGTTTTTAATAACTTGAAAATATGATTGACAACTCCTATAAGGAGATACAATTTCATCAGTGAGATTATTTCCAAAATCAGAATATCGTCAGGCCTACTATTGATTGGCTTTCGAATGACATTGCCAAACAATTTTGAACTAGCAACAACCCCGTTAGATAACTGAAAAGACTTGAAGCTAGATTTGATTGAGCCCATTGTTAACAAGTTTCGAGAATTGGAAAGATACTTGGATTCGATCACACCATATACAAGGGTGCATACTTGAATGGGTTTGAAGACCACAAATTATATTGGCAACTTTCATATTGCAAGCTAAAATTAGTTTAACTTAACTTGCATTAATCAGTGACCAGATTTGTTTAATGTTAAAGTGAGTTTCTCCCAAATCTTCTGATACCAAAACAACAATTTGTTTCCTAATTCCAGTGCCTCGGCCAGCCTTATTTGTTTGTTCAACAAACTTATCAACCCTTAAAGCAGTATTAACAATGACAAAACTTAGACAAAACTCGAAAAACCTTTACCATCATCAATTCCAAGGTTTACAAAATGTCCACCAAAAGTTTTAACAGATTGGTCATATAAGAGGAAAAACTGCACACGTTTCCTGGGAAGGCTTGCAATTGGTTCTTTCTTGATGGTAGTTTCCTCTTCAAGAAGATATTTTTCTTGCAGTTTTGAATTACCAATTTGACAGATAAAGCAATAATACATCGGGTCTTATATTTCAGGTCTCACTTGAATTGAATTGAAATTAAACAAAGGAAGGAGTATAACTTCTTTCCCCTCTTGTTTCCTGCACAAAATTGTTCTACACAATTCTCAATTCTTATTTTTGTGATACCCAAAAAATCATAGATATTGATATTTATCGTAAAGTTGGCATATTTGATCGGAATGTTCGGAAAGCAGTAAGCTGTCTTAAAAATTTTAGACAGAGCAAGCACATGTAATTTTGATTTTCATCATGAACCTTTGCTTGATTTGGCATTGTGGCAATTCACTAAATCCAACTTTACTGAATCAAACTATCTCTTTTACAAACTTTTAATTTTTCAATTATTTTAATTATCTTGTAGGTATCTTTATAAAAGCTTTTCAACCATTTTTTAACATTTTCATGCATTCTGACAGTAGTTTATACTTTAAAACATGCTGATGTTTTCACGCAATGCTTAAGTCAAACCACGCTTTATATAGCAAATCAATATTTTGGTACATAAAATAAAAATGGTAGCTGCAGCAATAAAATAATTATAATAAAAATTCTTGGTATTACATAGTAGAACACTAATGTAACCATTATAGTGGAAATAGTGATGGAATAACACAGTAATCAGTAACGTCCTAAGGTATAAGTAGCAAAAAACTAACAAAATATAAATTAAAACTGCCATAAATCCTTAATCAGTTAACCAATCCGACTGAAATCTAGAGTTTGGTGCAGCTGTAAAAGTTGGTGCAAATGTAGCATCATTTGCACCAACTTTTACTTAATTATTTAAAGTGGTTCTCATTTTATTCTTATTTTACATGTGTTTTTATTGTTGCACTATAAAGTCAAAATTTAATTTAATTTGAACATTAAAAATAAATTTTTTTCAAAATTTAAAGATATCAAAATTTGCATCACCGGGTACCTTGATGTGTACACTATCAACCCATATAAATGGGGTATTTGGGTCAGCTAGATTGGCTTCTGGAGTACCTCAAAGTTATAACCTTGATCCTGTATTGTTACTTATCTACATTGATGATGATTCAACTTTACATGATCTTTCTGACAAACTTACATCTTAAGTGGCTTTATTTGCTGATGATTCAATTTTATACTCCTGTCTTGTCAAAAAGTCTAGTTCTTTTCATCTAGCTTTTTTCTGAACACATCAACCCTTTAGAACTCTCTCCTGTTCTCATGTTTTCCTGACTCATACAACCTACAAAATTTCAAGTCTTCTACCAACTATTTCCTTGCTCTTTAACTCTATAGTGGTTACTAGCAGCCTAAATGAGAGTGAATAAAAAAAAAAACTTGTTTCAAACAAACTTACTTAAACCATCGTAATCATGCCATTGAATAATCTGAAGACACTCTGCGGAATATTTAAACCAAGAAAGCCATTTCAACCAGATAAAATAAATTGGAATTGACCTGAATAAAAAACACATTACATAAAAACTTTTTTTAATAGTTAAATTTTCTCCTTTATTACTAAAGAAATTAAAAAATAAATAAATTTAATTTGGATAATTCCCACTCCCCAGCTAAACTTTCATCACATATTCATTCATAAATGAAAAATAAATAATGTAGGTGCACAGTGGGCCAGGCTGTGACAAGAATCAAAAAAGTGATGTTCATAAAAAAAAATAATTCAGATATGTGTATAGTATATATCATGGCCTTTCTAAAATGAATATTATTATTTTTAACCAAAAAACTACTTATACAGTTACAAATTAAAGATTTTTCAAATATTCAAAACAACTAAAATTCAATGAAAAATATGTTCAACTTTATTTCTTAACAAATTTAAAATTAATTTTATTTGATGGGCTTCTTTTAGTAAATTTTGATATATATTTATAGCTGGTCATTTTCTTGCAATAATAACAAAATATGAATGTAAATTACCTTTTTTTTCTACTGTTTAAAATAATGTGTAAAAAATCTTTATTACAATTATCAGGGAGGTATATATAAAACCTAATATTTTTTGAAACACAAGCGAACACATTTATACATCCTAAAGTATATTTTTTAATTCAAAATTCATGTTATATTTTATATATATATCCATATATAAACATCATTATGATCAACATGATCATCATAATCATCATTGTTATCATGATGATGATAATGATGATGATGATGATGATGATGATCATCATCATCATCATCAACAGCATAAAAGAGTAAGGCTAAAGCCTGACGATGATGATCATGATAATCATGATGATCCTCATTATTACCATGATCATCATCATCATCATCATCATCATCATCATCATCATCATCATCATCATCATCATCATCAGGCTTTAGCCTTCCTCTTCTATGCTGTTTCTCTAACATAAACATTTTAACTAAAACTCATTCATACAATATGTAAAGCACTTTCTTCAAGTTTTCTTACTTCTACCACTACCATTTTCTACTAAAGCTGCTACCTCTCTACATGCTGATACCTAAAATACTTTAATCTTTTCTAAAAAAAGTTCGATACAAAGTTCTTTCTAATCTATCTAAGTTTATGCCTCCTTTTCTTGTCTTGCTAGAGTCACACCACTCATCCATCTGATCATCTTTTCTATTAGCAAATACTAAACCATATAAATACCAAAGTTTATATAATAATGAAAGAATATTGTATGCCAGCATCTAAATAAATAACAAACATATACGTTTATATTTATAAAATGTATGCATAAAGTGCATCTGTGGAAGTGGAAGATTTTATTCTTTTTGGAATAAAAGTTTAGAAGCTTTTATTATTTTTCTTCAATTTGAAGTCAAGCCTCATTCTTCTCCACATTTTTCACTATCTTGAGCAGTTGCTTTATAAAACATTAACCATTTTTTTTCATCTTTTTTACAAGAAAAGAAATTAGTTCTTTTATAATTGCAAGAAGCCCATGTAAAAATGTCCTGTCTGATGTTAAGCTTTGTTATTCTTATTTTACTAAATCTTGTATCTTATCTCTATCTATAGACTTTTGGTTAATCTTCAACTAACTTCATTAACTAAAGTAAGTCTAACATTTATTCTTGAATTCATGAGTCTAATCTTTTTACTCACCAGAATAAAGCAGAGTTATTTGCAAAGAAATCTTACTCTAATTTGACTCTTGAATATAATGGCCATACTCTTCCTGACAGACAAACAGATTAACCCATTGTTAAACATTGAAATCACTCTGGCTTTCAATGCTAAAATTAATTCTCAATTAAAGACTTATACAGTTTGTGCTCCAGAATAGATTTCCATCAAATGCTCTCCAGAACTCTCTCAATTTTTGATAAATTTTTAAAAAGTGCTATATAGATGGTTTCATTTTTCAAAACTCTAGAAAACACTTTGACCTCTTTAACTATCCTACGATTAGTCTTCACTCTGTTTCTTTATAAAAAAATTTTAAAGTTATTATATTATATCTTTCTAACTGCAATAGTAAAGTTATTCTTGAAGGGCTACCCTCTTCGTTATTTCAAGTAACTTTAATTGTACCACAAGATTCAATCTTTGCTCCTCTATTGTTTCTAAACTACAATAACGAACTTCATGGAATCTATGGTGGCTTTATTTGTTGACAACTCAACTTTATACTCTTGTCTTGACTAAAAATCTTCCCTTTTTAGTTGCTCAGAACAAGCAGTCAATTTTAAATCTGATCTCTTTTCTGCAACAGCCTAAGGCTTGCAGTGGCTTATGGATTTTAATTCAGGACTTTGTATTCACAATTTTTGTTAGACAACAAAACTCATTTATTTACTGCAAAAAAATATTGCAACATTGTTGGCATTCCTATATTGACAAATAACAACCCTCTTAGTCTCAGGCAAAGTCTAAAAGCACATTGTAAATGTAATAAGACCTGCCTTATCTGCCAAGAATGAGCCACTCTCCCATTGTTGTAAGGTTGTATTTATTTCTTTTTTCTACAAATACAATTATGGTCAATGCTCAAAAAGAGCTATCACCTCTATAACGCCTATCATCTCTATAACGCCAAACTCATTCTAGATTTGGCTTTTTATTCAACAAGTTGCATCCTTTTACTGTGTCTGCCCCTTCATGTTAAAAAAACTTTTATTAATCCAGTTTTTTTCCTTGCACATCAAAAAAACCTTATAACTCTTACCCATCTTCATGTTTTTCTTTTTTATACAAATTACAACTTTTTAAGTCTTCAGTTATACGCTTCCTAGTATTTTAACTTATTCACTATTTTAAGGTAACTCATAACTTAATTGTCGTTGCTTGCAATCTTGTTGGAAATAAATTAGAATTTAAAAATATATAAATGTATGCCAGTATTTAATAAATAGTAAATGTATAAAATTATAACATATTAAGTATCATAAACTTTATTCTAGCCGCGGCTATCAACCCATTCTAAATCTTATAATTTTGCCAGGGCTAGGTTTGCAAAATATCTCATTTTTAGCAGGAGCCGGGGCCCTGGTCACTTATTAATTTTCAAGCTCTAGAGCTGAAAACACTTTGTATAACCCCCTCACTTTGAGAAGGTAATAATATTTGATATTGATAACTTAAAAATGCTGTTGATGAATTTTATTACTTTTTATAAAATGAGGATAATAAAAATATGTTAGATTTGAGAACTGACTACCTGTAATAGCTCCACCGCATTTCTCTTTGTATGGAAATTACTAACATTAAAGTTGTTATTTTAGTTTCATTTGTTTTTTAATTATTACTTATTTTCATTCACGTTATACTGTTTACTTTTTTTTAGCTGTAAAATGAAATATTTTGAACTATACAAATGTATAAGGAATAATCAGTTTTCCAGTTAATCAGGAATAATCAGTCTTCCGTTTGATAAAGCAACTCAATATTACAAAGCTGGATTTGATGGTTCAACTATTCAAAGGTTTTATAAACAAAAATTATCAGAAAGCAGTTCTTGTAATTTATCAAATGTAAATTCTTTATTTTTGACTTGTGTTTTTCGTTTAGAGCTATTTACAAGTGTAAATAAAAAAAAGTTATTATATGGAGAAACTTAAAGCCATAGTCAACCATTTATAAAGTTGATGATAGAGTTTTGAGTTTAAAAAAGACTAATTCTGTATTGATTGATAAAGAAAATAAACTTAAAAATGAAATAGAAAATTTGATATAATCCATCGTTGTTTTTGAAGGGCAAAAAATATCTAATACAAACCATATCAAAATCAAAGTCTGCATAAAATAATAAAACACAGATATCTTATAGAAGAAAAAATGATATTGCTTATTGATGTTATGTCGGAGAAAAATCAAGAGGCATTTAATAAAAATTTTAAGAGTTAACGACAAGACTGTGTAAGAAAAAAAAGTCAATCAAATGTCAAAAAAAAAGTCAATCAAAATGCAACGAAGAACAAAACGACTGTTGTGCACTTCTGATCCATTGGTGTCTTGTAGAAAAACAGCAACAAAAAAAAAAAAAAAATTCCCCTTTTTTTTCCTTTTTATTGAGTTTTAAAACTTTTATGTTGCCCTGATATGTAAATAAGTTATGGGCTGTTTGTTTTGCTTTATTCTAAATTAAAGGGATCCCAAACTCCCAACACATGTTGTCTTCATATTAAAGATAATGTTGAAAAAAAAGGTTTGAACCAAGTTTTTTTGATTAAAAATAAATAATGAATGCATTCTGAGAACAACTAATCTTGTCATTTTAGCCAAAGCCTTCTCCATTTTACTCAAAAACTCAGAGTCTTTAAATTATGTTGCAATCTACAGAGTTGGGCGATTCCTTTGAAGCGCGTTTAATTCATAAAATTTTTAGTATATGACGTCACGGTAGACTATTGACAAAATGAAACTCTGTAAAAATTTTTATTTATTTTTTTCATAAATTTTTACATTATTTGTTTAGTTATTTATTTTCTACTTTTAACATTTAAAAAGGTATTAAAAACCTTAAATATTATATACTGATTCATTGCTATAAACTGTTATTGCACTATATTTAATGTTAATAAATGATGAATATTTATTATCTCAATCAAGATTCTGATAAAAAAATTGTTTTATATTTATTACACATACAAAATTAGTAACAGCATTTTTATTTGGTTAGACAATACTTTGTCTGAATTTGCTTTGCATGAAGTTCAGGAAGCCAAATGAAAAAACTTAGTTTGAATAACGATGTCGAAATATATTTAAAACAAATGATTTTAATGACGGGGGTTCTGAAGTCTTTTTATAACAAATGTAGGTAAAAAATAAATAACTAAATAAAAAGTTCAACATTAAACATCTTTTTTTTATTATACTGCAACTGTAAACATTAAACTATTAACTTAAACTAAATTTACTTATCTTTTAGAACAACTAAGAAATAAATAAAAAGCCCCTAAAACTATTGGTTATTGTGTTGTTTATTTGATTATTGTTGTTGTTTATGTTGTTTTTTATTTATTTATTTATTTGAATTTTCATGCTATATTTTGCTATACAATGTTATATCTGAAGATATTGTTGGCTTAGCATAGGAACAGCCACAAATAGTCATTAAGACTAATCCAAAGTAAGATTCCTAATTGATAACATTTTTGCGTACAGAAGTACTACTCAAGTAATGGCATAAGTGCAATGCATTGCAAAAACTGGCACAAGTGCAAACTGGCATAAGTGCGAATTGGCATAAGAGCGAAATAACAATTTGTGTTATGCCAATATTTTCAATTTTATTCAGCGCACTTATGCCAGTTCGCACTTATGCCAATGTTTGCTAATTCTTTTGGCTCACTTATGCCAGTTTGCTCTTGTGCCAGTTTTTGTAACTATGCCAGTTCGCAATTATGCCAGTTCGTACTTACACCATTCACATATTTAGCTTGATTAATTTCAAATGCCTTGGCATTGCTAAATATTGTGACTCTCTTGTAAAGACTAAAAAGTAGAAAATAAAATATAGCAAAAACTTTTGCTAAAAAATTTAATACTTTATAATCTTTTCTTTCACTAAATATGATCTCTTCCTCAACTTTCTTTGTCTTGCATAGTCCACTAAAAACTAACATTTTATATAAAAATTTACCACAAAATTGCTTGCGGGTTTGTTTAAAATAGTAACATTTATCAATTGACAAACCTTTTTATTTTTAAAATAGGCTAATATTGATTTTGGGTTAGTAATTTTTTTTTAATATACTTTGGTCTCTTTTAAAAATTAATTTTTTATTTTTTAAATTCAGCTAAGATTGCTTTTGGATTTTTATTTTTTTTTAAATCTTTTTGTTAATACTTTTTCTTTTTTTAAATTTTTTATTTTAATAAAATTGAAAAAGTAACTTATAAAGTTATGTTAACTTTGTTTAATATTAATATAAAAATATGCTACATCTGTGGGAGGACGCCGGATACAATGCAAATGAAGTATTTGTACTTTATATTATTTTACTTTTATATAAAAAAATTTTATCTTTTAAAATAGATAGTTTCTATATAAAAGATTTATATAGAAACATACCTATCTTTAGTTTACTAAACTATAAAATTTAAATTTAAAAGTTTATTTTCTACTTTTTAGTACAAAAAGATTATACTTTTAGCAAATGTTTATGCTAAATTTTATTTTGATTCAATTAATTTTTTTAGATTAATTAGATGACATTTTCTTCAATAAAGTCATACAACTAAAGAAGATTGAAAATTGTTATGTTTTGTTAATTTGTTAATAAATGTATAAATAAAAATATCTTTTAATTTTCAAAGCTAATAAGCATTTTTTTGAAACCACAATCTGTAACGATTTGTATTTTATCTATTTGAATAAAAGTCTATGCAAATATCCAACATGTAAACTTAAGTTATGTAAAGTATATCAAATTTTACAGATTTACTTTTACTTGAAAATTTCATAGCGGCAAAACTTCCATAATTTTGATTTATAGCATTTATATGCCATTTTATAAAGTTTAATAAGTCTTTGGTTTATTAAACAGTTTTATAAGTTGATAAAGCATTGCCAAAGTAGTTGAAGTGATTTATGTGGGTTAAAATCCTTTGGCTTACACACTTAATTTTTTTTTTTTATCTTGTTTAGTTTTTTAGAATACGAAGTAAAATTTTTTAAGGTCTATGGATATTATATGCATAACATATATAAAGATAATACATACTATAACAAACGGAAGGAAGAGAAATTTTTAAAAAGCTTTTAAAGATTTCTAAAAACATGAAAACACCGTTGGAACTTTTTTGTGTATATATCATGATAGAGATACGTTAATAATGTGCTCAAGTAATTAGTTAATCCTGCGCGTTTAAGGAACATGATAACGCGCAGTATAACGCAAACTTAACAAATTTTAACTTCTTTCAAAATTAACGGGAGTTAATTTTGAAGGAAGTTAAAAGAGCAAGAGTTCTAAAATGCTGTGGAAAATGCTTTAGAAAAATTAAGAAAAATAGAAACATATTAAAGAAAAAAATAATATGGTTCCTCCTCGCTTTTTTTTTAATTCTGTTTTTGATAGTAGTTACAAAGTATTGAACAAAAATCGCTAAATCAAAACAGAATAAGTGTAGAAAAGGTCGGTGTGGAATAGATTTACCAAAACCCATATTTTACTGATCCGGACAACTAGTGTAATAATACACTTGTTGCTTCTTTGTTCTGTATAAATGTTACCAACATACAGGTAACATTCATATATGCACATAAGTCTTTCCATTTTAACTTTATCATTTTATTTAAATTAACACATTATCAACAGGCAGGCATGACCGGCAATAGAAATAATGTTGTACATCATGCAGATAGCACAGAGGAAGAAGTAACTTTTTTTTTAAATTACAATTTATAAGTAATACTATATTTGTTACTGCATTGTTCTATATAAATGTTACTAAAATGCCATGAAAAACTCATGGATTTTCCATAAAAAACTCATAGATTTTCCATGGAAAACTCATGAACTTTCCATGGAAAACTCGTGGTTTTTTCACGGAGACATGTTCCAAATACCAACTGAAGTTCCATGGTTTTTATAGTTTTTCTATAAAAAATTTCAGTACAAGATGTGTATGTATATATATATATATATATATATATATATATATATATATATATATATATATATATATTCAAAATTAAAAGAAAATATATGTTAACATACTTATCTTTAAGAAAAAATCCACCAAATAACATAAATGGCATAATTAAAGGAGGACCAACTCCTGTAGCAACTTGTACTGATGGTGACATTGCTGAGACTAAGTAACCTATAAAAATGTTAGAAATAAACATTAGATGAAAGTTCATTAAATGAAAGACTTTATAGATGGAAAAAAACATTTTACTAATCTCTTGTTTTTGTAAAGCAATAAGCACTTTATATTTTAAAAAACTTCAATTGGTTGCACATCAGGTTACTTATTTTTATTCTGCATACTTTTAGCAAAAAGATTAAAAATGCTTTCCAGTAAATCAGATAAACAAGCAAGTTTTCTTTAAAATTTATCTCTGTACTTTTCTTTCTTCTAATCTTTTGTATACTTTTCTTTACAATTTATCTCTGTACTTTTCTTTTATTTATTCTTTTGTGGCACTTGCTCTAACAGAGTTCTTTAAATAAAGAGTTCCAAATTATATTTAGAGGCTTCTTAACATGACTTTTATGAAACTTGAAAATGTATTTTTCTACATCTGTTTGGTTATTTGTATAAAACTTATCCATTATATAACACAATCTAATAATGAAATAACCTTTGAATAGTTCTTTCTTTTTTAGAAAACAGTTTAAAAAATAAAAATAATATTTAAACTAAAATAAAAAAACACTTAAAATATTGAACATTATTCAATATTTTAAGTATTTTGTTCAATAATTTAATTGTTACATTATGTTTTATAGAGTTACACGACCAAGAACCTTTATATAAACACTTTTACTATATGACCTATATTCACCTTGAAAATTTACATTTTATAATTGGTATTACTTTAGAGTGTAGATAAAAGAATTTTGTGATTAGTGTGCTGATTTATTTTGTGATTAGTGAGCTCTAATTAATATCATTATTGATTAAATATGGATCATTAAAACTAAGTAATATCATTATTGATTACATATGGATCATTAAAACTAATTAATATCATTATTGATTACATATGGATCAGAGAAAAAAGAACAAATAATTATATTATTTAAATACAGAAGGTGATTGTCAATTTTAGTGTCTAATGTTAAACAAAAAATTTAGTATTTTGAATATCTTGAAAATAAATTTTGTTTCTTGCTAGAATGATGAAATCTTCTGACATTTTTTGCTTCTTTGGTAGTAGATATACAACTTTTGGTAACAGGTATGCAACTCTTTACTTTCTCCTAACGAGGGTACAGCTCAAAAACATAGATTAATGGTTTTAAGGCTGACTGTTAGTAAGATATTTTAGTGTTTTTTACTCTTTGATTTAAAAGACTTTGATTCACATGCTTATATGCTTAAGTTTTAATTCATCTATATATTTTTTAGACTTTAATATTAACTTTTTATTTCAAGTAACTTTAAGGGTACCACAAGGTTCTATCTTTGCTCCTGTATAGTTTCTTACCCACAATAATAATCTTCTAGTTTTAACAACCTAGAGTTTAAAATTTAAAAAAAATATAGACAAATTAAAGTTTAAACGGTCTGACGTGCTTCTTTATGTGTTTTTACTTAAAAACTCAATCACCATTCACATTGTACTTTTTTTTCCAACTTTAGATTGCAATCTATTCTATCTATAATCTATTTCACTTTATCATTTTAATTTTATAGTTTTATTTATGACTTTAAATCAGATTGAATGGTTCACCACTAAAGTTATTACCAATTAGTACCACTGACCCTGCTGGCTCTAAATCTCAAAGTTTTTGTTATTCTTAATCTCTTAATCAAATAAATCAAAACCAAAAACCGGGATTTTGGTCAATTTTGTCTAGTTTTGAATACCGGTATTAAAAGGCTTAAATACCGGTACTTCGGTATTTGAATGGTTGGTTTATTTTTCATTATTTTTAGCAATATTTGTATACTTCATGTACTTTTTTAAATTAAAAAAGTGTTACAACATTTAAGTAGATATTAAAATGCAACTATTTTTGAACATATAGCATTGTCGTATTTCAGATTATAAATATACAAAAATTTGTAAACATTTGTTGCTTATTTTTAAAATATTTTTTATTCTATCATGTGTTTAAACTCTTTGTTTGAGTAAAAACCTAGTATATTAAAATAAAGTTGTCAAACTCTGATTCATAGACAACTCTTTGATGAAACTCATTATTGCTTAACTCATTTTTAAAATACAAATTACAAAATCTTTATATACCTATATATTAGATACTTTTTAAAAATAATTTCCAAGAACAACTTTGGTAAGTTTAAAAATTAACATTTTCAAGTTTAAATTTATATATTTAAATTAATTTTATTTAATGTTTATATCAGTCACATTATGACTGATATAACATTGTGAGGATAAAATATGTAACGCATATTTACAAATTGAGATTATATTCTAATTTAGCCAATGGAGAATGAAATTAAAAAGTTTATTAAGCATTCAAAAGGCAGAGATAAATATACTGTTTGGTTTTTTTTGTCAAAGATGAAAAAGAGCATAGTGCAAAGTGTAAGAAGTGCGCAAAAATTATAAAAACAGCAGGTGGCTCAACAAGCGACCTTCAAACATGTTTAAAAACAAAGCATGATGTAATATTACGAAAATGAGATGTTATTGAACCTCTTGGTGAATCTAGTTCAATAAATTGCCTTTTCCAAAAATTACTAAATATTTTAAAAACACTGAATTGCCTCTTCCAAAAATTACTAAATATTTTAAAAACACTACAGAAGACTCGCTGGCAACAATCTTATCAAGAATGATAGCACTTGATGGGCTTCCATTCAGAATTTTCATAACATCTGATGATCTTCGAAAATCATTAAAAACATTAAATTTAAGTGATGAACTTCCGCCACGACTATAAAAAAATTGTCACTAGTTATAGCGAAATTATTCGGCAGTTAGTAATTAAAGAAATATCATAATATAAATTAAATAAACAAGATTTTAGTATTACTTTCGATGAGTGGACTTCCTTAAGGAACCAGCGGTACATAAACATGAATCTTCACTCAGAATCAAAGTTTTGGAATTTAGGACTTCTCCGAATCAATCTTACTTTTAAGTGAAAAATTTAATCAGTATGGTTTGTCATAAGAAAAGAATATTGTTTGTTTAACAAATGATGGTGCAGCAGTTATGCAAAAAGTAGGCAAATTAATACCGGCTGCTCAGCAGTTGTGTTTAGCCCATGCAATTCAACTTACAGTTGTAGATGTTTTATATAAAAAAGAAAAAACCGAAGAAAGAACCATTTGCTCAAATGAATCAATAAACTTCGACTCATATTCAGATGCCGAAGAGTACGAAAACTATGGTGCCTTTGAAAATATTTCAAATACATACGAAGAAGGTTTAGTTATGGATTACGATATACAAGAACAAGATACAGAAATAACACATAGTCAAATTGGTCCCCTTATACAAAAAGTAAGGAAAATTGTGCAAATATTTAAAGGTTCACCGTTAAAAAATGAGGTACTAAAGAATTATGTAAAGCTCGAATTTTGTAAAGAATACTTCTTAATTGTAGATTCTAAAACTAGATGGAATAGCTTATTAGCAATTCGAACGTTTTTAAAAATTAAAGTCTTGCATCCAAAAATTAGACATAGATTTAAAACTTAATATAAACTTTACAGAAACTGATTTTGAAACAGTTTTAGCTACTATCTCAGCACTTTTGCTGGTATTTAGCCATTGAGTCACTTAGTTGCAAGGATGCTAACTTAATTTCTGCGGATGTAGCACTGACATTTATGTTTGACAGGCTATGTGAAATTAAGTCATCATTGAGCATTGAATTTCTGTGTGCTTTAAAACAGTGTATTATTGCAAGAAGAAGGCAGTTGTTCGATTTAATTTCTTATCTGCATAAAGGTCTAGAAGATGGTATTAGAAACTCAAATTTATTAAGTTTTAACTTTCCACATGCATCAAAAGCGAACAATCTCAATTCACTTTTGGGCATTGTAAATCAGAAAGGACTTTGGAATCAAAACACTGCTGTTGAAGAACAAGTCTGGGAAATTCTTTACTTTGAGGTTAGCAAAGTTGAGATTGACGATGGAAAAAATTCTGAGAAATCAATGAAAAAAGAGATGTACAAGGCCATTTCTAAACAAATAAACTATAAGGTTGTCAGGAAACAACCAGAACGCGCTGGTGATATAATTAAGTGTTAAAAAAAAGAAATGAGTCTCTTTGAAGATGAAGGTGTGTAAAGAAAATAACTCCAAAAGGTTTATGATCTTCTTTTAACAATTTGACCAACTAGCGTTGAATCCGAAAGAGTATTTTCTACTGCCGGTATTATTTTAAATAAGTTGCGGTGCAGAATGGATGACAAAACTCTGGATGCTCTTTGTTTTTTAAGAGCTTATTTTCATAGAATAAAAGATAAAGGTTCTACCATATAGATCAATGAATTTGCATTCTTTTCAAGTTTTTGTGATTTGTAAATTTATTAACTTTCCTTTAAAAATTTAAAATATTTAATACTGGTTTTAATAACGGTATTATGCTTTTATATATCGAAATACCGGTATTATAACGGAAATAACGGTATTATGCTTTTATAATATCGAAATACCGGTATTGATTTTTTGACCGGTATTGGATTCCCTAGTCTCCTACAATAGCTTGAGCTCAGTTTCTGTTTGCTTTCCTCTTAATAGTTCATGTTATGTTATAATCTTACTAGAACTTTTATCACTTCTTTTATATTAAATTCACTCTATCATCATCTTTGTGATTTATCTTTTTCTTTATTCCTTTGTAATTTTTCTTTTTTTCTTTCTTTGATGTAACGTCTTTGTGAAAAATAGTTCTTTTTACATTATTTTCTAGATTGAGGCAGACAGGTAAAAGCTTATACCCTTTTGTTGTCAGATTTAACTTAAATTCTCATCAATGATTTTTTATTTCTTGTGCATTTTTAATTCTAATCATTACTTAATCATGATAATCTTTTTCATTCTCTTGAGAACAATTATCTTTTTATTGTTACATGAAATAATTTTTTTCTCTCTCTTGATGTTATGTCTATTATTGTTACATGAAATTAAGGCATGAAAAAAGTTAATGTATGATGCATAGATCCATTATTCTCAAATGATGTTTTATCTCAAAAGATCAATTCTTTAGACTTTTGGAAAATCTTTTACAATATTTTAAACAAAGGCAAGTCTATCATTTTTTCATAAATGTATTTGAATTCCTTTAATTTATTTCTTGAATCTAATGACTACACTTTCTCGTCATTCTAAAGAAAGGTTAATACACTAAAGAAAGGTTAATTATTTGACATTCAAATCTGCTACTGTTGCTAGAGTCTCTTAAAAACAGGTAGTTTCAGAAAACAGCTGTTTTCTGTTTTACATTTAAAAAAACACAGCTGTTAACAGTTGTTTTCTGTTTTTTATAGAATTTACAACAAAATATTTTAAGTATTATTTTTTGTTATCGTAAAATTTAAGGAACACAAGTGAATAAGAGATTTGTCCAAAAGTTAAGATTGAGTCTTTCTGCAAAAGTTTGTTGAAGTTCAACTCAATCTGTGGACGTTGGTTTAATTGTAAGGAGAGCCTCATACAATTTTTGCAAATTTTCTCTTTTTTTCTCTGTATTCCAAAAAAGAAAAAATTACTGTTCTAGCCTTTTAAACTAATCACTGTTGAAACGGGAGTAAATTTTTTTTTTCTCAGCAATAAATCCAACTCTTCTTGAAGAGATAGTGAAGCTGGACTAACCTGACAACCTTCAGAATCACCAGAATTAGAAGTGTTGTTAAAATCATTGTAGGATCTCTCAGTGATCTTAATAAGTTCATTCCATCTTTCACTAGTTCGCTTCTTTCATATAACTACTTTACAATGTTGTGATTCAAATTCAAAAGTTTTTACAGCATATAACCCATAACAGTATCAGCTGGGGTCCACAGCAGTTATCATCATCAACAAAGTATTAAAATCCACCTTATTGATCAAATTGAGCATATTTAATTATGCTAATATCTCAAACAGACTATGTTTTGTTTTAATCAGTGGATCAATCATTGTAGGTATAGAATTCCAACAATGTTGATATCCTTCATTTTTGATTGCATTGTGAATGAACTGATTTCTGGTGATAGCTCTAATGGATATTCACTCTGTGCCATTTTAGAAATTTTTTCAATTTAATTTCATTTAAGCACTTAGGTTAAACAAAATCAAGCTGTTTGATTTTGTTCAATGTAACCCAGTTTTAAATTTCTTTTCTGCTACAACTTTTGTTCAATGTAACCCAGCTAGTTTTAAATTTCTTTTCTGCTACAACTTGTTCAATGTAACAATGTTACTTTTTCAGTTTGAGACCAATCAATTCTATGATTTGATTTTAAGTACCCTTTAAGCTTGTGGTTTCCAGACTACATGATTTTGTTCAATGTAACTGATAGAAACCCTGTTGTTAAAGTTATTTCTCACTTATCCTACTCTTCAGCTTGGGTCCAGCCTTTTGCAGTCTTTTTCTTGGGTCCAGACAACATTTCAGTCACAGTTTTATAAAAGCATTCTCTTCAATACTCAATACAAAAGTGTTCTCTTCAATACTTCAATACAATACAATAAGTAGTCTCTTCAATACTCCCTAAACTATTTCACAAATGCTTAAATAATTTTTGTTGTCTGTAGATAAATCGCAACTGTGATTCGAAGTTATAAAAACTACACTTATCGCTTGGACTCTTCAAACTTAGTGCCCAATCTTCTTACTATTATTAAGACTTAAAAGTCTATCTTCTAATATCTTATTTGAGTCTACTCCTGGAAAATCAATATCAATTTGAACCCTCTCATTTTAAAGGTGAATTTTTTACCATTATAACTGAAAGTTTCCATGTGAATTTGAAACAGAAAAGTACCTTGTGCATTTTAATAAAAAGGTTTCAAGGAAGCCATTAGCCAAAAGCTATGACTCTTGACATTTCAAAGATTTTCAATAAAGTCTAACATATAGGTTTTTGATTTAATAATCTTTTTTTTTACGATGAATTTTAGAAACTTTTTAAAACTATTGTATCATTTCTTTCTAATCAAACTACTAAAGTTGTCGTTGATGGACAATACTCTTCTTTATTAGCTGTAAATTCTAGGATATAATAAGACTCCATCCTTGGACACAACTATATACTCAAGTTTTGAAAAAAAGTCATAACTTTTTGATCTCTTAAAACAGACAGCCAATCATAAATGTGACCTCTCTTCTTCGATTTGCATTGTTATGTTTAAGTTAATGAGAGGTAACTTAAAAAAATAAATGTAAATATTAACAGTAAAGCTCATTACAAATTTAAATTAGTTATTAATGCACTTTTAAAATAGTTTTTTTTTTGTTAACTTTGTTATTGTTTTTTTTGTTGTTGTTTAATGCTAAATTAATTTTTTGCTGTATTTAATTAATGTGATTCTGTATTTTTTTTCCTCTAATTTTTCTATATTGCTATAATAATGATCAATAGGAACTATTAATGTTATTTTTATAACAGAGTATTATTGTTTTTTTTTCTGTTAATAAAGAATTCTCTTTCAAAAATAAGTAAGTTGTTTATTCAGACTATAAACAAGTTATTTCAAAAAATATCAAAATTAATATTTTTTGGCACTCGCAATACGCATGGCATTAAAATTTTGTAATAAATATATAAAAAATTACTAAAAAAGTAAAACCTACCAAATGATAATGCACATTGAACTAAAATTTCCAAAATGCCTAATGATGCAAAAAAGGCACTAGCAGTTGTGCGAAATCCTTAAAAATAATCAAAACTAAAAAATTTTCAGATCATTTTTAATAACATTAACATAATAGTGTCAAAGCAATCATATTTTTGTTTTGTTTGTTTTTGGAAACATATGGCTAACTAATTTTGCCATTTTTTTTTGAATAAATTTTCAATAACAGTTCATAGGCTCAATCACTTTATATAATATTTTCTATTGTCAAAAAAATAATAATAATAAAAAAAAAAAAAATAATACAAATAAATGCACATTTTAATAAAAAGGTACCAAACCCAATTTCAGCATGTTCCTCGAGAAAAAATGTAACTGTCTTTTTTTATTTTATTATACAATTAATTAAAGTACAATCAATTAAATCATATTGATAATAAATTAATTCTAGGTACTTTGTACTTTTTTAGTATGTGCTATTTCAATAATATTCAAATAAGTAAAACTGTATTTTAAATTTATGATTTTAAAAAAAAAAGTAGTAATTAAAATTAAATACTTTTTTGACACTTTACTATAAGTATATTTTTCTTGATAACTCTTCATTATAAAAATGTTAAATTTAATCATTTCACTGTTGCATGTTTAAAACTTTATTATGATGTGTGGTTTAAAAATTGTTATTTTGCAAGTAACTTGTTATTAATTGGTGTCACTTCTTTGATCAGACTTTTGTATTAGTGACACCATCCTAATAAACTATCATTATTTTTATAATAATTTTTTTTTTATAATTATATTATAATAAGTCTTTTTACAACTTTTAATATTTATAAACATACTGATAATTACTATTACTATAATTTGGATTATTTTTGTTATCTTATATTATTATTATTATTGTTATTATTGTTACTATTATTATTTTATTATTATTACTAATATTGTAAAAATGATTTACAGAAAATAAATATCTTGTTGTTATTGTTGTTGTTGTTGTTGTTGTTGTTGTTGTTGTTTATTTTAATTTCAGTAAATTGCAAATAAAAATTTTTATAGATTCTTTTTTGACCAAAGTTACCTAATGAATATAATTAGACAATATTATGTAATGTTGTATTTTATTTATAAGGAATGCTAGCAGAACTAAAAGTTTAGAAATGTTACCTACCAACCATAAAGTAATAAATTACTGAATAAAGAATCGGCCCAATCAAATATGAAGGAAACTAAACAAAAACTCATGATCAAAATCTCACAAATATATAAACAAAGTAAATAATATAGAAGATAATAAAGAAACAGAAGTAAAACAAATAGAATACAGAATATATAGTTAATAAAAAAACATAAAAACAATACAGATATCATATGATTTGTTCAACTTACTTCTGCAATAACTTTTGACAAAAAGTAGACATCTGTCCTATACATTCCAAGCTTATGCTCTTTTAAGAAAACAGGTATTTCTGCCGGAAACACCTGAAAATAACAATAATAAAAATAAAAGATATCTTTTAAAATTTAAAATTATACAAAAAAGTAAAAAAGAAAATCTTTTATTTATTAAATAAGAAAAATCTTTACAAAAAGTGAGCCTGTAATTGATCCAAATGACATTGTGGTCACAGTAAAAAAGATAGCACCATTGATATTTGAAACTTTATCATTGTTGTCTTTTAAATCACCAACACGTAAATAAACTAAACCAGCAATAATTGCTATCACCTAGGTTACACAGTGAAAAAATACGCTTTTAGATGCATGAATGTATTTCTAAAAACTTAACAGTTTTTTTAGTTAAACAAAATAAAGTAAAACTTTATTTTGTTTAACTAATTGTAATTACATTGATCATTTTTTTTCTACTTCAAAACCATATTTTTGAAGCAACATTTTAATTTTAGATTTTAATTAACTTTATTTGAACCTTTTTTAAAAAATTATATACTAAAAATTATTAACATTTAAATGAGTTAATTACAAGTTTATTTCGCCAAAAATTTATTCACTGCAAATAAATCCATAACACAGGCCTACAAAAAAAAAAAGTTTTTTGGTGCCTAAGATTTAATAATTGATTTTAGCTATATTTTTGTTGCTGAATCTGAATTTGAAGTTTTTCTCTATCAGCTCTAGTTTTTGAGGTAAATTTTTTTAACGTGCGATTTTACATGAAATTAACAGTTTTAACTCCATTTAGTAATGTTATAACTCGTATAGACAATGTTTGGTTACTGTATTCTATATACTTGTTATATATTCAGTTTATTGGTCTGTTTGCAACAGGAAAATCCACTAGGTGGATTAACCATACTGTAAATTAACTTTAACTATAATTGAGATTAGTATGAGATTTGTTGCCGTGCGGAATAAATGAAAGTTGGTGTTGCGTGATATTTCTATTTTCTGAAGTGTTGTTGTTAAGTTAACCTAAATAGTATTGTGTTGTAAATTGTTCTTGCATTTTTGTATTTAGATCTAGATAAAATGAGTTCAAATAGAAGAAGTTGTGTAAATCACCCTGTTGTGTTTTGCTACATATGCGGAGAATATATGTTAAAAGAAAACAGAAAAAATGTTAGTGATTTTTTAAAGAGGGCTTATCTTGCATACTTTGGTGTTAGGCTTGGGGATCAAGATAAAACCTGGGCCCCACATCAGGTCTGTAAAACTTGTACAGAACATTTACAACAGTGGACTACCAGGAAAAAAAAAAGGTATGAAATTCGGGGTGCCAATGGTTTGGAGAGAACCATGAAACCATTTTAATGATTGTTATTTCTGCATATTAAATATTACTGGAATCAATCAAAACAACCGTAGCAAGTGGACTTATCCTGATTTATTATCTGCAAGACAACCGGTTCTTCACTCAGAGGAAGTTCTAATCCCAACGTTTCTCCAGCTACCAGAGCTCTGCGAGGATGAATATTGTGCTTCTAATTCTTTTGATACTAATGAAACTGACAGTGATTATAAAAAAAGGCATCTATTCCACAACTATTCAACCAAGATGAGTTGAATGACCTTACCAGAGATCTCAATCTATCAAAAGAAGCTTCTGAGTTACTTGCTTCCAGATTGAAAGACAAAAATTTACTGGAACAAGGAATCAAAATTACTTTCTACCGTACACGAGAAAAGGATCTGCTACCCTTCTTCTCTCAAGAAGAGGATCTTGTATTTTGTCACGAAATTAGAGGGCTCTTAGAAAAGATGAGTCTTCTTAAATATTTTCAAGATGACTGGCGTCTATTTATTGATAGCTCAAAGCGAAGTTTGAAATGTGTTCTTCTGCACAATGGAAACAAATTTGGTTCAATACCAATTGCTCACTCAACAAAAATGAAAGAAGAATATAACACCATTGCTTTAATCTTGGAAAAGCTAAAGTATCAGCAACATCAATGGGTGATTTGTGTGGACCTAAAATGGTTAACTTTCTCCTGGGACAGCAAGCTGGTTACACTAAATATCCTTGCTTTTTGTGCCTCTGGGATAGCAGGGATGAAACACACCACTGGACTAATAATTTAATTAACAACGCCTTAGTTGAACGAGATAAAATCATTTTTCCTCCACTGCATATCAAGCTGGGCCTTATGAAGCAGTTTGTAAAGGCTCTTGATAAAAACGGATCGTGTTTTGGATATATAAGGGAGAAGATGCCACAGTTGAGAACAGAAAAAATTAAAACAGGAGTATTTAATGGTCCGCAAATAAGACAATTTATTAATGACTCTGCCTTCGTGAATTCAATGAATGAAACTGAGTGAAAAGCTTGGACTTTATTTGTTGCAGTTGTCAGAAATTTTCTGGGCAAACGCAAAGATGAAAACTATGTTAAACTGGTTGACGACATGCTTAGCAGTTTCAAATCCCTCGGATGTAATATGAGTATTAAGGTGCACTATTTACACAGCCATTTAGATCGTTTTCCTAAAAACTTAGGAGACATGAGTGAGGAGCAAGGTGAAAGATTTCACCAAGATATTAAAACTATGGAGGATCGGTACCAAGGAAGATGGGATACGCATATGATAGCGGATTACTGCTGGAATTTAAAAAGAGATTGTTCTAAAATACATTCAAGAATGTCACGGAAAAGAAGTTTCTGGGTTGTTTAGTGACTATAGTTTGCTTCATAAATACTTTTTCTTTTGTCTTTATATATAATAACTATATATATAATAGAGAATGTAATATACCAAATAGTTATACATTTCTATAGCATAATAATCAAAATTTAATCAAAATTTCATGTTTATTTTGTTAATTTGATCCCAATCAAAACCCTTTTTAAAAGGATAAAAACCATTTTCATAATAGGTATAAAAGATTTTTGTTTTTTAGGGTAAAGGAGCCATCGCCGCCCCTAGCCCCCTCATCAGCGCTTCTTATTTCATTAAAATGATCTCAAAAATGCAAGCTGATTGGCAAAATCTAACGGTATATTTGAGTTCAGGGCATCAAACTCATATAAAATTTGCTGCAAATACCCCGGCACCAAAATAGCTGTTGGCCTGTGTAATAAATAAAACAAATAAAAAAGAGTAAACAAATAAATAGAATCAGCAGTTCTTGGTAAATCAATTAGTAAAAGAAGACAAAAAAAAAAGTTTGTAGTCACTAAATTAATTATCATCATGATGAAATGGTAAAAATAAAAAACAAATTTTAAAATATAAAAACAGAAAATCAAAAAAATGAGCAAGGAAAAAATCCACAGTAAAGTTGTTGGACTCAAAATGAGACATCAAAAGCCTGTTAATTATAGATTCGAAGAATTTTTTAATAATATTAATAATAATAATAAGTGTTAATGGCATTAGTTAAAAGTGTCTGATCTATACTTAGATTTGTTTAAAAATTAGATACACAGCTGCTATTTTCCTGCAGATAGGAAAACATATTTTCCGTTAAGTATTTGATAAATATTTTGAAAGTGTTCAATAAGGCTCTGGAGAACACTTTAGAAAAGTTTAAGTGATAAATAAATTTAACAACAGGTTTTTTAAATATATGATTTGGATGTTGAACAATTATTTGTTTCTCAAGTAGATCAAGAGTCATTAAATTTAGATGAGTTAAAGAAATTTTTGGAAATAGATCTACCTCATTCTTGGGAAAGGGAATAAGATCAGGTCATAGTACGACATAGACAAAACATTTTGAGAAATGGAATTTTAACTTTCTTAATGATGTTAAGAAAGATTTTAACTTATCTTTCTTAGATAAGTTAAAATCTTTCTTATGGGAAAGATTTTTCAAAAGCCTCTAGAACCTGAAATAAGAAATGACTATCTGAGAATAATCTGAGAAAAATGAAAATTTCTGATTAAAAATAAAAATTAGAAATAGAAGTTGCAAAAGAAGGAGAAATCATGAGAGTGAGACTTGACTTAAAACTGAAAAAGAATGAAAGCTTCCATATGATTATGATTTTTCGCTGAGAGATGAAAAAATATATGAAAGATTATTATAGAAGCACACTTTTCAGCAGCGAGGAAGACATTTCAAAAAAATACAACAAAAAAAGAAGAAATAAAATTTAAAAAATGAATAAAATTATAATAAAATGAAAAATTAATCAAGGAGCAAACGAAAGTAAAAAGAAAAGAAAAGTGGAAGGTAATTAAAGAAAAGTGGAAGGTAATAAAAAAAAAGTGATACAAGTTGTCTCAAAAACAAGTCGAAATTTAACTAAGTAAGATATTGAGAAAGATAAATCTTTTGAAATTTAGCTCTAATCAGTGCTACTATAACCAAGTCATATTTTTTTATTTTATTTACACATAAAAATTATTTAGACTATGAAGACCAAATGATCTTATCATGGAACAAAGTGGAAGTGCAATTAACAAGGAAGTTCACAACTTATATATGCATGGCTTAAATCCGTTTCAATTGAGATCTGCCTAAATTATAAACTTGATTTTATGTTAGCGCCACATTTGATATTAAATTTTTTTTTTTTTTGTTTTTGTTTTGGTATAATTATTACAAACTTTAAATAGTCTTATAAAGAGTTATTTTTTTATAAAACTTCTATGGGCACAACCAGAGATTATCCGTGTCATATTTAAAATATCTTCAAATTTTTCCGCAAAAAATTCGGAAAATAATTTTAAGACATTTGGAAAAATCCGGGAATAAAAAACTTTTTATGTATTTAAGACTCATGTCTTTGAAAATGAATTTTTTGCCAGGTACTCTTTTATATGAAAGAAAAGTTTTTTAATACTTAATTTAAACAGAGTTTATAAATTAAATTAAACTAGATTTTTAGGTGAAATAGTCAAAAAAATAAAGTCATCTTCAAGTGCTGAGTATTTACATATCTTTAATAAACCTAAAAAAGTAAGTTAAAACAAAATATTTATCAAAACATTAGCAAAAAACTTTACATTTTTTGACCCCATTTTTTTTCTCAAAGGTAAGTTCCGGCTCTTTGATTTTTTAAAAATAAATACTGGCATTTTGTAGATAATAAATGATAACAAATGTTTTTATAAAACCATTTATAAAACTAATAATAACCAAATAAAAATAACAATCTCAATAAAAAAACGCTCAAAAAGTCTATTTTAAAAACAAAATTAATATTAGAGCCATAAATACAAGATAATGAAATTTAAAAATCACGATACAAGTTTTTCTAATAAAATCTTAAAACCAAAATTTTTTTTATTTTGTTTGGAATTAGTAAGAAAATAGTGCAAATAGTGAAAATAGTGATTTGACTTCACAGTAAATGAAAACTTGGTAAGAAAATAGCGCAAAGCCTCCACTTGAACTAAAAGGCAAATGTTTTTTCAAGTAGAAAACCCTAATCTAATTGTGAAATTGTTTGAAAATCGTTTAAAAAACTATGCAGTAAGTACATTTAATAATCAAACCAGATATTTTACAACAAAAAATATTAATTTTATATTAACCTATCAACCTGGAACTATGATGGCAAAAAAATGTTTTTTTGTTAATATCTCAATAAATAAATTGTTTTGGTAATTTTAATTAATTCAAAGCTTAATTTATAATTTGAATACATACATACATTTTCGAATAGACTGGGTAAATAAGAAAAAAGCAATTGCTTGTTCTCAGCATTTTTTGAGTTGCTCAACTTTACATTTAAACTTACAACTTTAAATCGCTAAATAAAATTTTTAGCGATTTTACTCAAATTTTTATCCACGTAAAGCTGAGCAATTATTCCAATTTGTCTCGACACTTGGGAATCCCTTTAATAATAAATATATGTGTACAAATAAGAAAAAACTATTTGTACAAATAATGCCTCACCTAAGTAATATACATATAAAATAGCGTAGAATAGTAAATGAATGATAATCATACTGTTTTAATTATTTGATAACAAAAAAAAAATACTTTTAATTTGTATTTCCAGAAAACTATTTGGATAATACAGGGATTATCTTTTTCTGGATAAAATATCCAGAAAAAGATAATCCCTGTATAACTCTATTATTAGCTTTTTTAAAATAATATTTAGAGGGAGTTTAAGATCTTAGATCCATCTTTATCAAGAATAAAAACACTTGATAACGCTATCAAGTATAAATATATTTGATAAGGAGGATCTAAACTCCTTAAATTGAAAATTTAATAACAAAGTTATATCCATAGAAAAAGTTTTTTATTTAATTAATTATTGTTAGTACTTAAGCTTGAAGCAATATAGCTTTTGTAATTTTGTTTATATTTATAATTTTTGTTTTGTGAAATAAAAGTATAAAAAAATATTACTTTATATTAGTTACATTTTAAATTTAAATTTTTTTTTTTTAGGTATTCAAGAAGTCCTTATGTTCTTATCACAATGCACTGTGGAAGAATTAGAAAGGAAGTTTACGCCTCTTTCCTTATCAATGTTATAAAATTTGTCATGAGGTGGCGTTGAACCACAGATCTCTAGTTTCTGAGGCAAGTGCGCTAACCACTGCGCTACTGCTGCTTTTATATATCAATATTATACAATCAACAGATTTAATACAATTACCAGATTAACGCTACACAACTAACAGATTAACAGCAGTATACAATTAACAGAATCAACATCAGCGTTATACAATTAACAGATAAATCTGTTAATTGTATAACGCTGATGTTGATTCTGTTATATTTACTGTTCAATTTATTCTGCTATATTAACTGTTAAATTTAACAGTTTTAAACAAATTTCATTAAAAATTAAAATAAACTGTAAAAAAATATCAACAAAGAACTAAGAAGCTTTAGCAGTTTTTAATAAGTTATTTAAATTTTATATTTTTAATTAAAAACTTTTGAAAAATATTATATACTTTTTAACACATAATACATTTATAGTTGTGTTTTTAAATTAGTATCTAAAATACAACTTAATAAAGTGAAAATAATGGATATACACATGATTAAAACTTAAATTAAATCTTTTTTAATAAAAAAATGTACGATTTGAATTACCTGACACAAAAACAATTTTAAAAGTATTAAACTCATTCATTCAAGTTTTAATTACCAAAGTCTTTTCTTAAAACTACTGGCTCTTTTGTTTAGAGTTATTTCAGTGCAATTTTTAATCTTTTTAAATTAAAAAAACATATTACACAAAGAAGAAGGGTAACGAAGGAACTTTTTAAATAAGAAAATATGAAGAAATGCAATACAAAAAAATATTTATAAAACTATAACTTACTTCAATGAAAAAGTGATTTAAATATATAATAAAATAGAGTTTAAAAAATTTGATAAAATGCAACAATATTTTCAACAATTTTATAGAAAATTTTTAATATAAATTTTAGATGTAAATAAATATCAGAAAAACAGCTGAAGACATATATATATTTAGATGTAAATAAATACATCAGAAAAACAGCTGTTTTTCTGATGTATTTATTATATGATACAAAACATTACAGTGTAAAACTTAAAAAACTTTGACTAAAACGTAATCATTGTTATTAGTTCAATGTCATTACATTTCAATAGTATTTGAATTCTGATACATCAGAAAGAAAATATCAGAAACAGAAGCTTTTTTTTAATTCATCAGAAAGAAAATATCAGAAACAGAAGCTTTTCAAAATTGTTTTTAACTTAATAGTTATTTCAAATTATTTTAACAATTGAAAAAACATAAATATATCTCACAATATTTTGCATAAGTCGAATTTTTGTAATGTATGGTTCTCTTAAATTTGAAATCCAGGCTCGCCAAAGTGTGGTACGCAGTTGAGTAAAAAATCCTACTTTATATCTAAATTAAAAATGTCAAAAAAAATTTTGATTCAAAAAAATTATGAATACTTAATTTAAATTTTCAATGAATTTAATTAAAATTTCAATGAAATGGCTAATATTTTTAAGTAATGGACTATGATTAATTCAATAAAGAAAGCAGGTTTTAAAATTAACATAATGAATGATAAAACCTTATTTATATTATATGTATAAACAAACATAATGAATAATAAAACCATATAATTTATGGTCTTATTATTCATTATGTTTGTTTATACATATGATTTAAATAAGGTTTTATCATTCATTATGTTAATTTTAAAACCTGCTTCCTTTATTGAATTTATATTAATTTATATATATATATATATATATATATATATATATATATATATATATATATATATATATATATATATATATTTTTTTTTTTTTTTTTTTTTTTTTGTGTAGTTATTAAGGTACTCCCAGAAGTCCTTACGGTCTTATCACAGAGTACCATGGAAGAGCATTTAGCAGGAAGTTCACGCCTCCTTCCCTACTAATGCCACTTGTTGGGCTAGAGCTGGCGTGTTTATATTTGGTTTTATATGTATTTAATGTTCAGTGGTTTAACATTGTATAAAAATACAAAATTTTTGATTATAGAAAAGAGCTTAATAATTTGAAAATTTAATTTAAATTTTAAAATAGAGCATAATATAATTAAAATGAAGAAAAAACAACAACTTATGGGACTTGAATTTACATGCCTTGTAGGCAATTATCAGCCATAATATACCTATATATGTATATATATATATATATATATATATATATATATATATATATATATATATATATATATATATATATATATATATATATATATATATATATATATAATTTCATATATTTATAGAGTAAACTCACAATATCTCAAACCTTCAAGGAACCGAGAAAATAGTTAGAGTTAGCAAATGTTGTGATATCAAAGGTAAAAACAACACATAAATTCAAAAATAGTTTTGAAGAAACATTTTTGATTTTATAATGTTCAAAATCAGATAGAAAAACAAGTTTTTCTATCTGATTTTGAAGCTCTTTAAATGGGTCATTGTCCTCATCCAAATGAGCAGATTTTTGCTGATCTTCCGAAATTCCTAATTTTGCAAAACAATTAATGATGGAGGAGGTTTTCACTTTTTGCCATGCAAAATCAAACATTTTCATTGCATCTAAAATCGAAAAAATAAGATCTGTTCTTTTTTTGAAGCTGCGATAAGTCTTTGTAATACCAAAGATCAGCAATAAATTTTCAAAGACTGTATAACGCCCTAATCCATTGATTGAAGTTTAGAGGTGGTATTCAGTGGTAATAAAACAAGCTCAATAGATTTTAGATTATCGATTGCCGGGTGTGCTGGGTAGTTATCTATTATAAATGCTACTTTCTTTTTTTCTTTTGTAAAACTTTGTATCCATTTCTCTTATACACTCTTCAAACAGTACACTTTCCATCTAGCTTTTATTTTAATTTCTGTATCTGCAAGGTGAGTACTTAACTCCTTTGAAGCAGTAAGGTGATTTTGATTTACCTATTACAAAAATAGGGATTTTATCACAAACTGCATTTGCTGCAGTCATCCTAGTAAGACAAATACAAAAATATAGTTCAAATTCGTCTGCATTATAAACTTCATCATTTTAATACCTGGTAAAAGTTGTAGGGAGATTTGTTTTTTTTGCATGGTGTGGTCATATCAGAAATATTATATATGTTTTTCCAATGATCAAGCCAACCATCAGACACTTGAAATCTTATTCTTTTTAACAAGTTCTCTCACTTTTGTTTTAGGAATTGATGCCAATACAGCTACATTTCAACTCCTTACATTTCAAAGCCATTTAAAAATGAGATTATCTAAATTTGAAAATGTTTCTTCGAAAACATATAAGAATAAAATGAGTTGTTCCCAAGCGTCTTCATAGATTTGAAAAATTTTTCTTTACTTTTGATCCATGTTGACAGCATATTTTATAGTAACCTGAGACTTTGATGATCATCTCTCTAATATATTTTTTGTGTTTATTTTTCTTTTTACAGCGACAGTAGCTATTGTAAAATGTAAATATAATACACAACTTTTATTATAATATTCCAACACATATTAGCATAACTTATACTATAAACTATTCTAATATTAAAGTTGTTAATATTATTTACATTGCAATCCAAGGACTTCTTGCGGTTTAAATAAATTTCTTTAAATTTTGATGGGAAACTTGATTGCACTTGAGGGCAAAAAGTTAAACTTAATTAAAAAAAAAAAAAACTTTTACAAAGATTTTGCTTTAACTTTTCTTCTAAAGTTCGAGTTATCGGAAGAATATTAACCAAGGGAACAGATACATTGGTTCAACTTGGTACATGTTCGAACTAACAGGGGTTCAAGTTATCAAGTGATTTTTATGAGAAAATATTAGTGAGGGTTCAAGGGGAATTTAAAAGTACATTGAGTTACTAGAAGTTTGAGTTATCTGGGGCTCGAGATATAGGGAGTTCACTTTATATATACATATTTCATTTATATATATATACATATATATATATATATATATATATATATATATATATATATATATATATATATATATATATATATATATATATATATATATATATATATATATATATATATATATATATACATATATATATATATATATATATATATATATATATATATATATATATATATATATATATATATATATATATATATATATATATATATATATATATATATATATATATATATATATATATATATATATATATATATATATTAGGGTGGTCCAAAAAACAACATTTTTGAAAAAAATCTGCTCCACAATCCTAAATGTGTTCTATATAATACAAAAACACTAGGTTTACAATTTTTTTAGGGGTAGCCTCTGACCCTTAAACATTTGTCGGATCCCTAATATTTTGAAAAAAAAAGTTCTTTTAAAATATGTCAATCTGGTACTCAAAAGAAGTGAAATTAAATTAAAAATTTAAAAATATTAATACTTTTTATATAAAAATAATTTTTTCATACATTATTACATAAAAACTGTTGTCTTTAAGCTAAAAATAAAAAAAGTCAAAATTTTCGAGTTTTTCGTAAATAGTTTTTATAAACTTCTTTTTTATCTAAACTATTACTTTTGAGTATCAGGTTGACATAATTTAGAATTTTTTTTTCAAAATATTAGGGACCTGTCGAATGTTTAAGGGTCAGGGGCTACCCTTGAAAATATTTTTTACTCAAAAAAAATGTAAACCTAGTGTTTTTGTATTATATAGAACACACATACACACACACACACACAGATGTATGTATGCAGTAGTATTGCAAGTGGTACTGCATTAGTTGGAGCTTTCTGATAATATATCAGGACACTTGCAAGATTTTTCAAAATGCTTTGTTCTTCAAATTCAATTTTTAAACATACTCTCTTCTACCTATAGGTGTTGGATAAGGTGTTTCTATTTTGGATAAAAAAATTTTTTTTTGTTTTTCAGTGGGCCACCCACTGAAGTGGTTCATTTTGGTGAGAAAATAAATGTGTAAAAATTTCAAGAAGAAAAGAACTTTTTTACTGGGCGCTACCAGTCATTGAGTAATTATTTTTATGACTTTTTAATATCAATTTGGACCACCTTTAGCTTTTATGACTTCTGCAAGTCAACATGGCATCAATTAAACTAATTGCTTTGTCATATCTGAGTGGATATCAGCTCCATCGCATTTCACAAGATTAAATTTTGACTTGTCCATCCACAAAACTTTCCTTCAGAATGATACCTGCATATTTACATATTTTTTAGCAAACGCAAGTCTTCATTTTCGATGGATTTTTGAAAGGAACGGTTTCTTGAATAGAATTCTTGCATCCACTTTCTTTAAATCTATTTCGAATAGTACATGAGCGCATTTGTAACCCAAAATCTTACGCAAGGAGGCTTGACACTTTTGGTGCTAAAAAAAAGCGGTTTTTTTGAACCATCTTGAGAACTTGTATACCTATTCTTGATGTTGTTTTCTGCTTAGCTTCGGATCTTGGCTGATTTTGCATTTATCCAAACATATTATACTTTTTAATCAGATTGCTGATGGTTCCTAATGCCATTCCAGTTGCTTTTTTTATCGACCTGAATATTTTACCTTGCTTGAACAAGTCAATAACCAAATTGCGCTGAGCTTAGGACCATTCCTTGATTTTAACTCCCATACTTGATATAATTGGTAAATTAAATGAATTTAGAAGATTATTAAAAATTACTCATTGTAAAACTATTGATTTAAAAACTTTTTTTATTAATCAATTTTAAAACTTCATGTACAAAACAACATGTTCGGATAATTAATTTTTGTTGAAGTTTTATCACTCCTTCGGGAGTTGTTAAATTTTAGCAATGCAAGTTTATAACCTTTGATTAATTTTTTGCTATATATATATTGTGATTTAATTTGCTTTTAGAATAATTATAATAGCTTTTTTTAAAAACTTATGTTTTTCTGAGATATCCTGACAAAATTTATTTTTCACAATAAAATGTATTGTTTGGACACTTATTTCTCTGATTGTAGTTAAATTAACTTGTTAAAATTTATTATTGTAATAGTATTTACAACACAAAAAACCATCTAAAAAATGTTATTTTCATTTTTAAACTCAGAAGATGTCTCCTTGTTTTCTGAAATTCCAGCTCTCGATTTCTTATTTCAAAATTCCTCAATTTCTTCAGGTCACACTCCAAACTTTAACATTATTTCTATTTTGAATTAAACCTTTAAAACTCAACCTCTGACAACAGAATTGTTATCAACAACTTTCATGGATCTTAAATAAGGAATTTATAGGGTTCTTTTTGTAGTTTTTAACATTTAACATTTCAATTTTAATCGCACCTAATTCCCATTATATATAATTTTTCATTAATAGTTTTACATACTTACATATCATAAGTTAAGGTCAGCACTGCTAATAGTTTATATATACAAATTGTTTCAAATTACCATCTATAGATGTGCTGACTAGAATTTTTTAGTGTTTCAAGAAGACTTTGAGTATAAATGTTAGAACGGAGAGATAAAAACTGATCCTTGTCTTACTTTTTGATTTAAATGCTGTTTTTTACCTTGAATGTACATGCATGAGTATTTTATTTTTAACAACTTGGTCAAACACGACCATTTCCAAGACTAGGCATTGCAGAAAAAAAATATTATCAGACTTAAAACTTTGGTTTTTTAATTCAAAACTCATTAGAACAGCAGTCAAGAAAATTATCAAATGCAATTAAAATACTCAACTTCCTTATCTAATGAAGTTAAGAACCTCATACCAAATATATTGACATTAAATTATAGTTAGTTTAAAAATGATGTGCAATTAAAAAAAGATCTGGTGAAGTTAAAAAACCACATTTTTGAAAAACTAATGAAACTTGAGAAAGTGTAGTAATAATAATTATCAATTCAGAATAAATTCAGAAATGTGCAATTGGTTGCACATAAAGTTACTTGAGTTTTATAATTAGTAAGGTGAATATTACATTGACTAAAAACTGATTTTATAAAATTTATAGCATTAGGACTTAGCATTTGATTTTCTTCTCTAACTTTTTGGAAAAAACTAAATCATAAGTTCATTTAAAAAAACTTTATTTAGATCTAAAATAAAACTTTTATAAACAAAAAATTTTTTTTAAACAAATACATAATGATTGACAATAATGAATCATGCACAATGAAAACACTTTAAAAGTAACTCTTACAATGAAACTAAAATAACAACCTCAAATTACACCTATCCAAGTCAATAATATTTATTTGATCAGTTTTCCTTGTGGTTTATTTATAATTTTTTATTATAGTAGTTTTTTATTAATTCATAGTATTTCATCAGTATTTTATTACAGTATTTCATTAAAACATTTCATCATAATATTTCAACTTAGTATTTCATCATAGCATTTCATCATAGCATTTCATCATAGAATTTCATCATAATATTTAATCAATAACCAATATTATTTTATCAGTAATATTTCATTGATTCACTAGACCTAGAACTGAAAACACTTTTAATATCTTTAGAAATGCACCTTATGCTTTTAGAAACATACAACCACAGCATACTTCAAAAATTGAGGTACTTTGAGCTTTACTTCCTTAAAAAAACATTGAGTTTTGAAACCTCCTTAAAATCTTCTTAAAAAATCTTAACTTCGTAAAATTTTTTAAACAATTTAAACTTACTTTGAGCCAGTATCAGCATCTTCATTGATAACGATCTATGTAAAAAATCAAAAATATTTTTATTATGTTGTTTTTTATTAGTCCCAAAAATGGATTTTTATTGTAAATGTTTAAACGTTTGACACCATGTTTATGTAGATTATTAGGAAATACTTAAAAAAATTTTAGTAAACATTCAAGCAAAAAAATTAACTTGTAATGTATAGTTTTTATTTTTTTAAACTCTTTAGTTTTTGTTTTATTCTGATTTTTAATTATGCTTAAAAAATTTTAGAACTATTGAAGACATGTAAAATTAAAATTGCAACAAATACAACCCAAAACTTGATTTTTGCCTTTTTATTAATTTATTAAATTATACTTTAATAAAATAAATAAATAAAATTGCAATACTTACCGGCTGAGAATCTATAGGAGCAGTTTTGTTTTCATACTCAAATGCATCACATATGGCCTATAATTAATAACCATATAATAATTATTTATCAAATTCCGTTAATTATTTATACCATAACTGAATAAATTATTTTTTATACTTTTACTAATGAAATAAATTATTTTTTTTAATATAACCAAAAAAAATAAACCAAATGAATTTATAACATAACCAAACAAATTACATTATAATCAAATAAATTATACCATAAACAAAAAAAAAAATACATCATGACCAAAATAAATTGCATGGTAAGCAAATTAGTACAGAAAATATTTAATTTTTTATGTCATAAAGACAATATCTCTATTTATAAAATAAAATTACAAAAAGTGACATCATTCAAAAAACACCATAACTAGCAACAAAATTTTATAACAAAGAATTTTAGGAAACTTACATTACACCTAGCTTTACATTCATCCTCTTTCCCAGGAATAATTGCAAGTGTGTGTACGTAATGATCAGCAGGATTATAATTAAGTGGACAGGGAAAGTTTACTCTAAATGGAGTTTTAATTACAATTATTTTTTGTAAATTTTAATAAATTAAACTCTAAAATTTATTTTTTTTACTTAAAATAAAAATAAAAAAATTATTTGATAGTAAGGTAAAATATGTACATGTTTGGCATGTACAGTACGCATTTAAAAGATTGGCAAACTTGGGATTAGTATGCATATGTATATGCATTTGTGCAAAATTTAAACATAAAAACCTCTTTTTAATTAAGTTTCAGAAATTTATTTTTCACATTCCTTTTTTTATTTTAAATCTCTTTTAAAAGCAGTAAAAAAAAATTACCGAATACATTTTGAATACATGTCATTTGGTGTGTTTTAAAATTACAAATGTTTAAATAAAAAATCTTCCAAACAATTAAGAATAACCTTATTGGACAAAATTTAACCTTATTGGACAAAACTAAATAAAAAACAAGTGACTAAATTTCCTGAGAACATAAAATTTTATATCATTATCTTATAAATATGATTACTATGAAACATTCCGTTGAAATAAAAATTTGATAATAATAAAATTTGAAAAATATGAAATGTTGCAACATAATGTCATATTTAAAAAAAAAAGTTATATTTTAAAAAAAGACTTCATTCCAACGTTGGAATAAACTATTTTCTTTCTTACAAGATCTTAAATAATTTTAAATTTGTAAGAATTTTTTACAAGTTCATACAAAAAGTATTTTTAATTTAAAATTGTAAAACTTAATATTTGATAATTCAATTTCTTGTAGGCTACCTACCTACATGCTATGTAAAAAAACTTGTAGGCTACCTACCTACATGCTATGTATAAAAACTTAAAAAAATGTATCATTTAATTTTTTAAATAAATTTCTTGCATAGGTCAGGCATAATCTAGATATGGTCACCATATTGATAATCAGTTACCTATTAAAAAATGTTATAGCATCTATCGTCTTTCCCAAAAATGCAGTTCGCCCTTCTGATAATAGGAGTAATCTAAACATTGAAAAATTATATATATATATATATATATATATATATATATATATATATATACATATATATATATATATATATATATATATATATATATATATATATATATATATATATATATATATATATATATATATATATATATATATATATATATATATATATATATATATATATATATATATATATATATATATATATATATATATATATATATACTTTTTAACATGTTTTATCAATATCAATTGACATCATCAGGTATAAAAAATTGGTTACAATTTCTGCATATAAACAAATTTTTTGGCTTCATTAAAAATTATATTGTGATAGTAATAGTGACTTTAATTGTGTGTTAAGAAGAGGTTTTTCCATCTCAATATGGATCCCTTCCTTAATTTTGAGTTCATACTTGGAGGAAGCTCTGTCAGTAATGGAAAAGCAATCATGATTTGTTGAATTTTTGCATTTTTGCGATGAATTGAGGTGTTTGTAAATGTAAATATATATATACAGCGCTCGAAATAGTTTTTCAAAGCTTCCCGATCAAATGTAATTTTTTAACAAAAACAGGTTATTTTCCCTTGAATTTTTCGAAATTTACCTAAAAATAGCCGATCATTGATCGTTGATCGGCCGTTATTTCGAGCACTGTATATATATATATATATATATATATATATATATATATATATATACATATATATATATATATATATTTATGTAATATATATATGCAATGTGTGTGTGTATATATATATATATATATATATATATATATATATATATATATATATATATGTATGTGTATATATATGTATGTGTATATATATATATATATATATATATATATATATATATATATATATATATATATTGAGAGAGAGAGAAAACATACAACTAGACTAAATAGATAGTAAAAATAATACGATTAAGAATATTATTAATAAAAAAGTATTAATGAAAAACTGGCATTTTTTGTTTTCATACTAGCGATTTATGTATTTATAAACATATATATGTATGTATATATATATATATATATATATATATATATATATATATATATATATATAGATATATATATACATACATATATATATATATATATATATATATATATATATATATATATATATATATATATATACATATATATATATATATATATATATATATATATATATATATATATATATATATATTATATATATATATATATATATATATATATATATATATATATATATATATATATATTTGTATCTATAAAACAATATATATATATCAATTTAAATGTGTAATGTACAAATATATATATATATATATATATATATATATGTATTATATATATATATATATATATATATATATATATATATATATATATATATATATATATATATATATATATATTTGTACATTACACATTTAAATTGACAACACAGGAAATTTACAAAAAAAAAAAAAGCATCTTTTTGTACAGTGGCATTGATTATCTTCTGCTTATTGTTAAAAAAGACATTAATTATAATTTTAGAAGCAAATTTAAACCCCCATTCTTTGTGTAAATCGCAACTAAAGCAAACTGTTGGAAAGTATTTTGATAAAACAAAGCTTGATACACCTTTGACATTAGCACCTTTTTTAGTTACTAAATTGGAAATATTATCTAAGACTACAAGACATCCACATGTGAAATCCTTAAATGAAAGTAAAGGCACAGTAAGACCACCTTGTGAAAGTATTTGTAGATACGGGCTAATATTTATATTGCTTGCATCTGTAGCAAGCATAGTTGCAACAACAGTTGCTGTACCAGCAACTGTTGTTGCAACTTTTTCTGTTTCAGGCAACAGAGTTAATTCTGATTTCTCATTTAAGTTTAAATCTAATGTTATAAATAATTCATCATTAATTGGGTTATCATAATTGTTCTTTAAATCTTCATCCCAAAAATTATAATTATGTCAACATATTATTCAGTACACCAACTAATAATCAATTATAATTGATAAAATTAGTGATAAAATAAAAATAATAATAGAATACGATAATGACATCATTTTAATGGCTATTCTGTATTATTTAAATCCTTGGTCAACTATTATTAAACAAAACTTAGAAGTCACTAATATACAGCTTGCAGGCTATTATTACGGAGACAAATATCTTCTATGCATTAAAGCTGTTGCCCCTAAAAATTACTAAAAATTACTAAAAATTACACTAAAAAGAGTGCAGCATGAAATACACCAAAATGGTGTAATTTAACATCGTTTCAGTGTTTTTCATGCTCATTTTTAGTATAATTTTTTTAAATTTTGGTGTTTTTCATTCATCTTTTTAGTATAATTTAACATCTTTTAACTAAGAGTGCATGAATAACTAGACTATGTGTACATTACGTGGCTATGATTCCTTAGGTGGAGTGGAATTACCCATTTTATTGACATCCATTATGCAGCCTCTAACTATTTAGCAAAACATGTGAAATAGAATAACATATAGAACATATAGAAAACATATATAAAACATATATAAAACATATAGAAAACATTTAACATATAGAAGTGTGGTGTATAAAAGTATTCATGTGTAGTATATAGAAGAGTGGTGTAAGTTATTTTTTGTGACATTTTAAAGGAAATTAAGATTCAAATACTAGAATAATAAACTAAAATAAAATATAGTTCTGTAAAAAGAACAAAAAGCAATATTTTAGGAGGTAAAATGTGCATAAGAATGTTTCCATTGTTGTTGCAAGAATTCTTTTATGTTAGGTATCTTAGGTAAAAAATTTGCTTAAAGTTGATGTGAGAGTTAAAAAATTTAATACCTTCTCAAAATACAATGGAATTTAGTAAAGCTACACAGAGAGTGAACGCCTTTGAGAAGCATACAGAATAGTAGAAAGTTAGATAAAAGCCCAAAAGGACAGATGCCCAGTGAGTAGATGAGAAGCGAAATACTATTACTAATCAATTAAAAAAAATTTTTGAAACATTTTTAATTTTTTTTCAATCTATTCCTTCTTTGCATTTGATGGCTATATATTCTACTTGTTCTTTGAATGAACAACTTTTCTAAATCTTATTACAGCACAGCTGATTCACATTAGCATTGGTTGGGTTTATTAAAAACTTCAAAATCATTCTTTAAAAATTTTTTTTTTTTAAATTCACCTCCCCAAGGCCGAGAAGGCTACAACAAATGAGGAAGCTACTTAATTGTAGTTATAAACCCTCTCTCAACTCTGTAACTCCAAATCATGAACCTTGACAAACAAGGCCACTGCGCAGAGAAATAAGTTGAGCGCTGTACTATCAGGGACATGGTGAAGATTGAACTCAGAACCTCTCACTTATGAAGCGAGTGCTCTACCACTACACCACTACTGCAAGCCAATTTTTTTGCGCAAATATGAAGTTTTATATTGATAATGTTTTAATTTATTAATTAAAACAATTTTATTTATTTGCTTCGTTTTATTTTAAACTTCGTTTTATGTTATTAAGGTTGTAAACTGTATAAAATAAAGAAGAAAATAATAATTGTTATTTAAATTTTTTTTAATTGTTCATTATAGCTTCATTGTAAACTTAAAAAGTTTAAATCTCATGTCTTGTTGTATGGATAATCTAAATTAAAAAATAAACATGAACAACATCTGCATACAAAACATCTTTTCTTCTTTGTGATGTTTCCACCTGTTTTATACAGATTTTCATTAGATATAAAATTAATGATAAATTTTTAAGTATGCTGCCAGTCTAATCAAAGCAGATCAAAATTTTATAAAGAAATAAAGTTAGTGTACAGTTGTTGTTTTATGCTCTAACTTTAAATTAAAAGAAAAAAAAAAAATCACTTTTAAATGTGGGTGAATTTTCTCCGAAAATTAATTAACTTGAAGTTTAGTTTACATAAACAAAAATTTAAAAGCACTTTCTTTTATCTTTTTTTTTTAATGCCAATGCTTTATTTTGCTTAATTAATTTGTTAATTAATCTGATTTGATGTCATGTTGATTTGATTATTGATTTCCTTTTACTAATTTACTGTGGTAAAAAAAAACTCTGCAACCAGTTAAGATTTAAAGACAATCAAAAATATTACTATTTATAAATAAATATCATAATTGAAAGATATATTTTTACTTGTTTTAATAAAGACTCATTTTTAAAATCAGTGATTAATAATAAAATTTCTATTAATACAAGTTTTAAAAATCTTTAAAGAATAAAGTTAATATAAATGGTATTATATGGTAAAATAAATTTAAATAGTTTTTCAAAAAGCTTTTAAATAATTGCCCTCTACCTTGTATTTCCATAATTAAAGAATCAGAATTTCCTTTTTGACAAAAAAAATATAAATAAATAAAGAGTTTCCATTTCATGTCTTGTTGTCATGGGTGTTTTGAATTAAAAAATAAAAGATGAGTAACAGCTGCATTCAAAAGATCTTTTCATTTTTGTGATAGCTGATTTAATGCAGATATTTTATACAGTTAAAGTTAAATACAGTTAAATCATTGTTGTTTTGTGCTTCAACTACAAATCGTAAATAAAAACGAAATAAAAAAACACACTTACCTGTCAAATAACTGAAAAACCTCAGACGAAGGCTGATGAATTGTAGCAATAATTGTTGTACCTTCACTAGCAATCTTTTGTAAACAAGTTATTACACTCTCCGCCATGAATGAATCCAGTCCTGATGTTGGTTCATCCACAAAAAGAAGTTGAGGATCTGTGATTATCTAGTAAAAAGAATAAAAGAATAAAGAAGATTAAGTAAAAACTAGTAAATTACATTTTTCTCCTTGTAAAATTTATATATTTTTATTTTGTTAAAGAATCACTATACCACTTACCTCTGAAGCAAATGAAAGTCTTTTATTCTCCCCACCAGATATTCCACGAATTCTTCCAGGTACACCAATTATTGTGTTTTGACATTTTGTAAGACCAAGCTGCATAAAAGAGTTTAAAAGACACAAAAATAATGAATTTTATTTGACTTTTATAATCAAATATTAAAAAAAAAAAAAAATTACACTAATACTTTGGTGATTCAAAAAAAAAAAAAAAAAAAGATTTCTGCTGTAAATCAATTTTATTTACCTGCAATATAACATCATCAACCCTTTTTTCTTTTTCTTTGGTTGAAAATTGATCTGACATTCTCAAATATGCCTGAATAAAGAATTCAATGTTTTTTATGAGTTTTTAAAAATTTTATTACTTTTAAAAATCAAATATATTTCTATTTTTTTTACTGAAAACAGAAAAAAAATAACAAAACTTGAGAACATAATATTTTAAATACCTGAAAAAGCAGGTGCTCTCTAACAGTCAGAGTTCCAATGAACAACTCTTCTTGCATGACATATGCAGATATATTTTTGATCTTATTACGAATGAATTTATTATTTACAAGAACTTCACCTTGAATAAACAAATTTTTAACATTCTGGCGCGAGAGAACATTTAAAAGAGTAGTTTTTCCAGCTCCACTAAAAGCAATGTTTTCACAAATGTTAATTAAGTACTTATTATTATTACTTACTAAATAATTTTTTTATAAATAATGGAGAAATCAGATTGGATTTGAAAAAAGTCACAAAATAATTGTAAGGGTCACACATGCAACTAAAAGTGTCACTGTGGGGCAAAAAAATTTATCCAATTAATCTAATTTAGTCTCAAGTAAAAGGTCAGATGCTACTTCAAAAAATTACAATTACTAATTATACCTTTTTAAAAAAATTCCTCAAAGAAAGTTATAAAAAAAAAGAAAGAACTAGCAAGTTTTGAAGTTATAAAAAAAAAAAAAGAAAGTAACTAGCAAGTTTTAAATGAACTTTCTTAAAAGGTTTTTATTTTTTTATTTTATTTTATTTTACTTCAATTTTTTCGCTATAGGCTTCTTTTACTTGCATTTTATCTATTTGTAATTTTATTTACTTTGTGGAGAAAAAAATTGTTTCTTTTTTTTTTAATTATAAAGAGATTCTTACAAGTCAAACTTTGTATTTTAAATAATAAGACACTTGTGTAAGTTTTATAAAGTATTGAAGTTGTTCCAGTAGCTTTATCTAATATTAAATACCATACTAATAAACAAATTTTTTAGTGTGGTATTTCATGTTAAATAAACCTATAATACCTACACAAGCGGGTTAACTCAAGATCACTTATATTATCACATTTTTGTATTTCCTTGTGTTAGACATAAATATAAGTATAATATAAATATAAACAAAGACAAAAAATCATTAATAAATTTACAGGATATCTTACAAAAAAAAAAAAGTTAAACCTAATTTTCAACTTTAAAAAAAAAATAGTTAGTATATAATTTTTGAGGGATACTGACATTGGTTGATATTTATATATTAATTGCACCTTGGTCATCTTTATAAACGTACATAAATTACATTTAAACTTTATAAAAATAACTAAAGAAATTTAGGTACTACATGCGCAAGGTTGAGTTGAATTTTAAATGTTTCGTTCTTTAAAGGTTTTTTAGGGTGTAGAATAAATTAAATTACTAAAATTTAATTTATTTTTACAAATTTTTATCATTAAAAATCAAATAACAAAAATACTCAAGAAAACAATATTATTTTAGACTGAATTATCTATATACTACTTTTGTTGTTGTGCCCTAGATTTAAAGCATTCAATTAGGATTAGTCTGCTAATGAACAAATTCTTATAATATTATTGTATAATCTATTAATTTTATCAAAATACCTAGCACCCATAATTGCCAATAAACTTGATGGTTCAGCAGTACCACTAACTAAAAAAAAAAAATCTACAGTTTTACTTTAAAATCAAAAACCTAAGTCTCATTATAGATTGAATTATGTGAAAGCAGAAAAAAAAAATTTTTTTTTTTTATTATAAGGGAGAAGGGTTTTTGTTTAAGAGAAATCTTTTTGCAAATAGTTTGAAAATTTTTTGTTTCTTATTAATTCAATATCGTGTAAAGTTCTTTTGACGTAACATATTTATAAACATAAATTATGTTTACAAATACTTTATTGGTAACTAAGAAAATCTATCCATAAATATATAGATAGATTATTATATATACTATTTATAATCTATATTAAAAATATTTCATTAAACACGTTAAATATAATCAAATAAGTCCTGATAAACAAAATACTATGATAAGTATAAAATTGTTTTAAGAAATGAATTATAAAAAATAAATTATAAGGAGGTATAATTTTTTTCAAAAACTTTTTGTTAATAGTTTTTGTTATATTACTTTGAATGATTTCAACACATTTTAAAATTGAATTTGATTACAGCGCAGTACTTTAAAATACTCTCATAATGTAATTTAACTTTTAAAGATGTAAATGCAAAGCTGTGTTAAAGTTACATTTATTAGCGTTATGCGTTTTCGTTATGCAATGAAATCTCGTAATAAGGCTTGATATACATATATATATACATATATCAGGCCTTGTTATGAGATTTTATATGAAGCCTGATATTATGAGATTTGTTATGAGGTCTTCTTCTTGTTAACCATTTTTTTATGCTGATAACATTGTCTTGTGTGTACTATCAGTCAAAGGTCTTCAGAACTTACTTGACTTATATTCTAGTTTTGCTTTAAAGCATGATATAATTTTTAACAACAACAAGTCTCAAACTTCAAAAATTATGAATCCCAAATAAAAAGCCATTGTTTCATATTATCAAAAATAGTTCTCTCATACACTACTCAAATACTTGAGACATTCTCATACACTACTCAAATGACATGCACAATGATATAGATATTTCAAAACAAATACATTCATAAAAATCACATTACTTAATTCCTTTTTGCAGTCCTATTTATGGTTTTCAGCTTCAGTATCTTCTACAAAAAGACTCATTCCATCATCTACATTTTGCAAATAATAATGCACTTTGTCTGATTCTGAAAAAAACACCTTAGAACAGTGCTAACAAATTATTTTTGAAGAATGGTGGCCATCCACTCAATGCTGTTATTAAGAAGCAACAATACTCCTCTTTATTAATGTTGCAGAACAGTGATAACCTCATTATAAAAACTTTTGTAAACTCAGACAGGTTCTTGCAGCTTCCATTAATGTTCAAATGGAGAGCAGAGTTGAATTGATATCATCTTTATATATATATATATATATATATATATATATATATATATATATATATATATATATATATTTACAGTCTTCTCCATTTGAAATTGAAAGCCAGTGCACAAAAAAGCGCTGACCGATGGTCATTTTAAGGCTGGCGCGCGCAATTTTAAAAGTTCATATTTACCTGTCATTTAATTTAAAATAAACACAGTAAAAAGAATGCTTTTCATAAACTCTAAATGAAATTAAAGAAAAAAAGGTCAATAGGAACATTTATTTAAATTTTAGATAAAATAATTAAAATAGAAATAGGAAAAAAAAAGTGAGTATTATACAAAGTAATTTAATAAAAACAAATCGCAAAATCTAGATAAACTAAATAAAAAAAAATGACAAAAAAAAAATAAATAACCTTTTATATAAATATTATACAAAATAATTAAAATAAAAACAAAAAGACACATTTGATTTAAGTTCTAAATTAAAACAATTAAAAAAACAAAAGAAAAATATTTAATCATAGATTAAAGTGTTTCACAATTTTTTTATGAAAGTATTTGATAAGCAAAATAAGATTTGTTGCAATTTTTAAAAATTGCCCATGAGTAAAGTTTTTGCAGGTGTGTAGGCAAGCAGGAAAAGACTTGAGCGCTAAACATTTGGCCAAATGGAGTAGACTATACTTAGGACAGTAATAATTTTATACTATTTTACTTACCATATCTCTATTATCAAGGACCTTGAGCCTATCAATAAATTTGATTACTTGATATATATATATATATATATATATATATATATATATATATATATATATATATATATATATATATATATATATATATATATATATATACAGCTATGCACAAAAGTTTAATCGAGAAAGTTTTTCATAACTATGTCCCAGTTTTTCTAACATTAAAGTTTAACGGATATAGATTTTAAGATTTTTGTGTGTTTTGCTATTTATGTTTGTATACATAAAATAGACAAAAAAAATATTCACACATACTAAACTACTTCTGAATACTAATTAAATGTATACTAATGTTATATTTTACTGATGGCATAAAAGTTTAATCAAGTTAATTACTTATACATTTTTCATACTCGATAACTAATTATTATACTTAATTACCGCTATAAATTATAATATAAAGGGTACTCATGATTCTTAAATAAAAACTACTCATGATTCTTAAATAAAAAAATTTTTAAAATTACAAAAAAAATTTTTAAAATTACAAAAAAAATTTTAATTACAAAACCGCAATATTTTAAATTTCAATTCACTTGCAAATGGGTAAAAAGGTAGTGTCAGAGAGAATCAAATGGCAAATTATTAGACTAGTCAAATTAGTAAACTTAAGAGTGTTTCTGAATTTCGCATGCAAAAAACAGTGAAAACTTGGGAGCTAACAGCTAACGTTGTTGCCATGTCTCGTTCTGGAAGACCACTGGCACTAAGTGACCATGACAAAAGTAGCATATTCAGAACCAGTAGAAAAATCCCATGCTTAGCAACAAAAAGCTAGCTCACATATTCAACCAATCCTTTTCTAATTGAAATGTAAGTAAAGAACTTATTTGAAGAAGCAAAAAAATTAGATTAGAAGCAAAAAAAGGTACTGGGTCTTACACTGCAATAAGATCCTATCCTGTCAATCATGAACCAACACAAAATAAAGGAAATGTGCAAAGAACATTTGCATTGGGTAGTTGAAGATTGGGCAAGTGATTTGGAGTGATGAGTCAAATTTTAAGGTTGCGAATCACAAAGAAAGAATATACGTTGAAAGATTTGCAACTGAAAAATATGGTGAGCACTATTTACAAGCAAGACGACAAGGTGGTGGAGGCTCAATAGGCACAAGGGGATGTTTTTTCCACAAAAACCTTTATTTTTTAAGCTGTATAATGGCCATATTAACCATTATACCTACAAAAACACACTTGGAACACATTTGATTCCATAGACAAGTCAATCGTACGGCAGAAGCAAGCAATACATCTTCCAGCAAGACGGGGCTGCAGCACACACAGCACATAATATAACAAGCTGGTTTACCAGAAAGAAGATCAATTTGTTGCTTTGGTGCCTTAGATCACTAGATATCAACCCAATAGAAAATATTTGGTCATGTATTGACATTTTATTTGTAAACCATCAAATTCAATCATCTGAGCATTCGAAGCAACTTCTGAATAAGTACTGGTTAAAAGTGCCACATGGGATGTGCATTGGTCAAATCAATGCAGACAAGTTTTTTTTTGCTATTGAGCCAAAGAAAGACACTTTAAATAATAAACTTGTATTTTTTTTAATTTTTTGTGTTCAAAAAATTGTAAACATAGTTGGAACTGCTCTTGCAGCCAACCTTCAACCTCTGTCACATCGTCGTAATGTTGGTTCTCTTTCTCTTTGCTACAAATACTATAATGGGCACTGCTCTAAAGAGCTAACGCCTCTTGTACCATCTATTAAAATTCATTCTCGTGTTAATTGTCATTCAATTAAGTCTCATCCTTTTTCTGTTACTGTTCCTAAGTGCTCCAAAAACTCTTATTCGTCTAGTTTTTTTCCTCGAACATCAGTTCTTTGGAATTCGCTTCCTTCATCTTGCTTTCCTGATTCATATAATTTGCAATCTTTTAAGTCGTCTGTCAATCGTTATCTTGCTCTACAATCTTCATCTTTTCTCTTCCAGTAACTTCCAACACTAATTAGTGGTTGCTTGCAACCTTGTTGGAAGCAAAGATAATTAAAAAAAAAAAAAAAAAAAAACCTAAACTCAATTAAACTTTTATGCAACTCATTTTATGATTATATAACTATTTATTTAGTTTTTTTTTTTTTTTTTTTTTAACTATCTTATCTTAGTAATGTTAGTTGTATAGCTAATAGATTAATCTTTTAAAAAATGAAAACAAATTAATTAAATTCATTTTCCTGTTTTTTTTTTACAGTCATGCACAAAGTTTAATTGAGATGGTAATTTAAAATTACCATTTCAATTAAACTTTAGAATAAAAAAAAATGTATATATATATATATATATAAATATATATATATATATATATATATATATATATATATATATATATATATATATATATATATATATATATATATATATATATATATATACACTTACTAAAGCGTATTTTTTATAAGCGTTTGCTCACTTTTTTTGCTTACCTTAATCCATACGGCTTTTTTAGAAAAAGAAAAAAAAAAAGAAGAATGATGAATAAAACGATTGCTGCCCAATCCCAAACCTTAGTACGCAATACTATTTGTGTGTATATATATATATATATATATATATATATATATATATATATATATATATATATATATATATACACATATAAATATATATATATATATATATATATATTTATATATATATTTATATGTATTTAAATGTATATGTGTGTATATATATATATATATATATATATATATACACACATATACATTTATATATATATATATATATATATATATATATATATATATATATATATATATATATATATATATATATATATATATATATATATACACACACATATACATTTAAATACATATAAATATATATATATATATATATATACATACTTTTTTATTCTTGAACTATATGTTGTTTTCAAAGGAAATAGCTGTAAGAGTATTTACAAATTGGCATTTATCCCAGCTAGCACACATACGCTGGTAAAACGTTAGACCAATGTTGCAAGTTATATTAGCACAACATCGGTCGCCAACCTTGTTTTTATATCATTTTGGTTACAAATGTGATGTTGCTAACAAGAAAAGTTCAACATTGGCACAAAGTTGTATTTTATATTAGCAAAGTGTAATATTTTACAATTATTTAACATTGCATTTTTTAGATTGCACAGCGTTGTACTTTATGTTGGCTCCACATTACATTTAATGTTTATTGGACTAGGGAATTACCATAGAAAATTTAGAAATAGAAAAAGCTAATAAACGAATTTTACTTAATTACACTTATCATCAGTTTTGGATTTGCATAAGAAAAAACAGCCAATGTTTGCGATAGTTATACATACATTGGCTTAATGTATATATGACAGCTGGGTAAGAATATTTACAAGTATGTAAGAGTATTCACAAAACAATATGTAAGTGTAATTAAGAGTTTTTACAAATATTTATTGTAATTAAGAGAATTTACAAAACACTAACCAATCAATTAAGTGTTTTGCAAATATATTGAATATTTGTGCAAACAAAGTAAAACATTTTACAATATTATATTATTAAATGAAAAAAACTAACTTGATTTAATAATCCTTTTTCCATTGTTTTCTATGGATGATAATTTTTTTGAAAAAAGCTTCTGTACTGATGAGACTTTAGGTATAGTAGTAACGCTAAGGTTGTTCCATGAAAGACGGATGCCTTTTTTATTTACATGTTGTGAGAATGAATTTTCATATGGTGGAGGAGCACCATTTTCCTAAAAATAATTTGATATACCTAAAAATATCTTAGACAATAAACAAAAATATAATCATATTGTACTGATGCAGGACATAGCATTAAAAATAACTTGGATTGTAAAGCAAAATATAATTGTGTGGTAAGCCCATATTTGATTCAACACTGTATGCAATAAGCAATAATTTTTTTATTAGTTTGGAACTTAACCCTCACCAAATGGCTGGTAGGATCACACTTGTTTCTCCTTGCATTCAAAAGTTCATGATTTCATGAAAACTATAAAAAAAAATTTTTTTTTTTTTTATAGTTTTCAACTATAAAAAAAATAACTTAAATTAAAATCAGTGCTTTATTTGACGGCATCAGACAACATGGCAAAATAATTTTTTTATTTATGTTTTAAAGTTATATTTTATTTATTATTTAATTGTATTATATTTAAATACTATATTGTATTGTTACTGTATCCCAAAAAAAAGACTATTTACCAAACTCATGAAAAATATGTTAAAATAGTAAAATTTTCACTTTTTTGAAAATGTGATATCAAGCCTATGACTCTACATTTTACAATTTTAGCACATTAATAATAGTCAATGACCTTTTTCCATTACTGTAATTTTTCCTTTAAAAATTCTAACTACACAAATCATAACACATTTATAAAAATAAAAGCTTATATATAAATAAAGCAACTTGATAAAATATTCATCTTAATAATTTGTTTGCTTTATTAAGTTAGACTATTCAACTAATCATAAAAAATATCTTTTTTTAACAACATGTATTATTAACTTATATTATTAACTTGTATAATCATTTTTCTTCAGATTCGAAATATGCCTTATTTCTTTATATCATTTTTCAATTTATAAAGAAGAAGAATTATAAATTATATATGATATGTTTTATGTATATCAACCTGTTTCTATTGGTTACTACCCTCTTTTAACTCTTTAACTTCAAAAAATGTTTCTGAGTTAAAGAGTTGAGAAAGGGTTTTAACCAATATTAGATGTAGCTTCCTTGACAAAAGTGTAGCACTCGGCCATGGGAACATGAATTCAGCTAAAAAAAAATTTTGACGCAAATTGTTTTTTGTAAGCGTATATTTTTTTAATTAAAATTTACTTGGCTTCACTTGTTCTATATCATGTTTTAAGTTATGGTTAATTACAAGCTAAAATATTATAACTTTAGTTTATAAAAAATGATTATAAAGCAACTGCGGCACAGTAATTAGAACGCTTGCTTTTAAAGCAAGAGACCTAGGGTTCAAAACAAGCTTGACCCAAGGTATCTTGCTTCTAAAGCAAGCGCTCTAATCACTGCAATGCGGTTGCTGTATAATCATACATCAGAAAAGAAAACTAGAAAGTTCAAACCTCCTTCCTAACCGATGGAGCAAAATATGCCCAGATCTGGGCATATATCGCTTCATCTTTACTTGTAGTTTAACACTTTTCTTATGTTCGCTTATTTACCATTAATTTCTAATTTTGTCTCTATAGCCAATACATCTAACAAATATATTTTCTATATTGACAACTCTTATAGCTGTACAACAGCACTAATAGGTAGTAGCTCACATGGCTACTATATTTAATGTATTATCTACCAACTTTAATGTACCAACGGAACAACAGCAAAGCCTATTATATAATAATTTTTAAATAAAATTAGTTTACTAAAAGTCTTATTATTGATAAAATTCTATACAAGAAAATATTTTTCATGGTAATATTAAATTAATTTATTATTACCATAAAAATTATTTTATCATGGAAAAGTATTCATAATATTAAGAACACTGATGTAGTCAAGACAGGAAAGACCAAGACAAAGATCAAGACCAAGACATCTGGGCTTGTGACCAAGACCAAGACTGAAGACTTCAAGACCAAGACTGACACAAAAAAGTTAAAGCAAGACCAAGACAAATTTTTACAAAACCAAGATCTAAAGGTAGATTCTTAGAAGTTCAAAACAATAAAACTCATGCTTAAACATGTATGTTTAATTATAGGCCTTTAGGTGATGTACAATTTTACCATTTATACACAATACTATTCAATAAAATATAATAACATATGCAATTGTAGAATTAATGTTTTGAATATGTAATGAATATATTTCAAAATATTTCAAAAATTAAAATCAGTGTTATTTTTAAAAATATTTGCTTATTTTATTATTTTTTATATTTTTTTATTTCTTATTTTTAAAAAAAAAGGAAGAAAAAAAGAAAAAAAAAATTATTCTATTTAAATACTTTATGTAATATTCTATTTAAATACTTTATGTAAGAAGAAAGACAAACCTACATTACTTTACGTTACTTATTTTTATAAATCTGCATTACTTATTTTTATAACTTATTATTATAAATCTGCATTACTTTATTTTATAACTTAGGTAACACATTATTCTTAGCAGTAACAATTTATTATTAATTCCTAATCCATTGACTGTGTTGATATTTTTTGCAAGGATCAAGAAAGTACAAGGCAGTACTAGTTTAAGATCAATATTCCAGGCTTTCAAGAAAAAATAATAAAGTAATCTGCGCGAATAAAAAATTACAATAAAAGTTGGCAAAAAAATTTTTTTAAACTGTTTGTGCATGCTCGAAGAAATTATCCACGCGGAAATTTCAGAATAGAGAAATTCGCTCAACTCTTAAGTTAAAGTCCAATAAATTGTGAATAAAATGTGAAGATGTTTTTATTTATTTATATTTTATTTAGTCATTATTTAATTATATTATTCCTTTAAATAAAAAAATAATGTGTCTCAAGATCAAGACATAAGTCACAAGACCTACATCTCTGTTTTTATTGATTTTTACATACCATTATGTAAATTATGCTGATAATGATATGTAAAAATCAATAATTGTAAATAATGGAAAAATAATTTTACATATCAGATAATGATATGTAAAAGTATATAATTGATACCTTGTAATATTTTTTCTAACTTTTAACAAATATCTGATTATTTTACACTTTTATCTGGATAATTCTGTTGTTAAAATAGTGTTTTTTATTAACTTGTATTATATTAGAAAAAAGTTATAACTTCCTTAACTTAAAAAATTAAAAGGCTAAAAAATGGCAAACTGAAAATAACTTTAATGTAAATATTAGGTTGAAAGTTTATTGAAAATTAGAAAACAAAAAGTAGATTTAAAAAGCAAGGTAACAGTTGACTAAAGACATGAAAAGTTGTAGATTGTATGAGCAAGGAAAACATGAAGATAGTAGAGAGTTCCAAAGGGTTAAAGTGCACAAAAAAAAATTGACAAAGCATGGTTTTCAGAGCATGCAGGGACAAATACAGTATAATAATGAGACTTTTCTGAATGACAAATTAGGCAAGAATGAGTTTTTGTTGATTGAACTAGAGATGATAGCTGCTTTGAGCAATGACCATGATAGTATTTGTAGAAAGGAGAAAGTGATGTAACTTTTCAACTGTGGAAGAGATTTACAATGCATATTTGGACCTTATGTAGAAAGAAAGAGCATCATGAAAATAATCAGCATATATATGACAACAGTATTTCATACAAAGACAAATAAGAGATTTGTACAAGTAGAGAATTGAAAATTAAGAGTCAGATAATGGCAAGCAGAATAAAGAGAAACAACCATAGCAGAAGCTAACTTTGAAACCGATTGTATATACGGTTTCCATAAGAGGTCAATAGTGAATGATAATCTGAGAAAATATAAACTCAGAAGCTTGCCCATTAATATAGGAATGTTTATAGTGTTGCAATAGTTGTTTGCGGTAAATAACTGAGTTTTGTTGGATCCAAAATTCATAACTTATTGCACGCTCCAATCTGAAACAGAAATGAGATAAGATTCAAAATCAGTTGCCAAAATAAAAGATTTTTTGTCAAGATAGAAGTATAAAGGTGAATCATCAGCAAATAGACCCACTTTAGATGTAAGGTTGTCAGGAAGATCATTAATGTATATAAGAAACAAAACAGAACCTAGGATAGAATCTTGAGGTACCCTTAAGGTATTTGAAAAAAAAAAAGAGTGTTGGCTTTTGAAAATGACTTTATAGAAGCGGTTACTAAAAAATGATTTGACAATCTCAAAAACTTTTCCAGATATAACATATGAATAAAGCTGATGAAGACCTCTATGCCAAACTTCATTGCTTTGAAATAATTTTTCAGTTATAAAACCAGCCATAGAAAGAGAATAAAAAAAAATGTATTGTCTGACAGTAAGTTATTTGACTCAAGATGGGATGTTAAAAATTTGTTGATTAAAGATAGAGGACTGATCGGACAACAGTTAGAAGGGTCAGAATGTTCTTCAGAGTTTTTGAAAATTGGAACCACAGATGCATTTTAGAGCAGGCAGGAAAACAAGATTCTGTCAAGCACTTATTAAATAGTTTAAAGAGAATTAAAGAGAATTCTGGATACACTTTTGTAAGACTATTACAGGAATTGTGCATGAACCACAAGCTGTAGAAGAATTTAAATGAAATACAACTTTAGAAACTGGAGTGATTTAAATCTCTAACCATTGATTAACCTGTTTAACTGGGATGGTAGGAAAAGTATGGCCATAAGGCTCAAGAAATAGAAATCAGGAAAACGTTCTCTGTAAATAGTTCTGCTTTCAAAGAGAGGTTTATAAGATCAGTGCCATAAATTAGAGATGGAATATTAGACTTTCTTTTGTTAATGAAATTTTGTTAAATAGAAGATTTTCCAAAAGTCTCTAGAGCTTAACTTCAGAGATAAAATACAAGATTTGGTAAACTGAGAATGGAGTTTAACTGCACAAGGTAAAACCATGGAGTAGAATGGGACTTGACTTGTAACCGACAAGAAGGAATAAAAGCTTCTCTACCTGCCTGAAGGTATAGAAGCTTTTATTCCTTCCAGAAGGCTACGTAGGAAGTCTGTTTATTTATATACGAGATTGAGAAACACAAAAGTTTTTATTGTCAACAGAGTCATCCGTGAGTCAAGCCATTCAG